AAACACTGAAAAGGCCAGGATGTCCTCTTTTGAGCACATCAGGAGGGAAGCTCAAATGAGTCAAAAGAAGTTGAACAAAACCCAGAGTCCCCTGCAGAACACACAAATGAACAGTCTGGGTCTCAGGTGAATATAGACATTATGAAATCACAGTTATAATTTGAGCAGACGCGGCACTCAGTCAAAGACACGTCTGTAAAAATCCCCCTTGAATAGTGTCTCTAACCCCCTGCAGGTGTGTTTGGAATCTAATTTGGAAAAAAAAATTCAATTTCTCCAGTTATTTTTCCACTATCCAAGACTAATGTTGTTAAAACCTGGATATGAAAAAAAAAATTATTTATCCAATTTGATTTTGGCAGACGGAACAAGACCTGAATCACTGCAAGCTGGAGCAGCAGGGAGTGTGAGGAGCTTTACACAACCATGAAGAGAGTGTGAGAGGCCAGTTCATGTAAGGTGACACAGTGTGGAGTCCTGGTTTACCCTGTGTGTGTGTGTGTGTGGGTGGGGGGTTGGGGGGGGGTTCAAACTAGGCAGTCTCACATGGGGAACTAAGAGAGCTGCTTGTGTAAGAACACACACTTGTTATGGTTGTAATGTTGCACAAGCAGCGTGGGGTTCGTCCTATGGTTCTTGTTCATCTCACCGCCTTCATTATCACCTGACACACTGAGCCCCTAACCTCAGTCCTGGGACTCCCTTCTTTCCTCCTTCCACCTCCTCCTTTTCACCCTCCCTCCCTCTGTCATCGTTCTGACTGTACGAGCTGAGGTGTGGTGAGAACCGGACGCGCTGACTGTGCGTAAAGGCGCACGCTCGACGCGCATCTCGAGGCTCTAAATGAAAAGAGGTGGGACCACGGAAACGTATTTATAGCATTAACCTGCTAGAGTTTTTCCTGGTGGAAGAAGTGAGGGCGCAAGTTTACGCAGCGTCGGACACGGGAGCGAGCAGCAGCAGGTAGGTCGTCACGTTTACACAACTCGGTGACGCGGAGAGATGGACGCAACTTTGATCACTGTATTTTTGCGGTTAAAGGAGCCACAAGTCAACGCAGCTTGTGAGTTAAAGGAGATGGTATTGGTTCTGAAGTCGGCGATATATGTAGATTTTTTTGTTTGGTTGTTTTTTTTTTTCTAAAAGCTGATCCGTTGGTTTCCATGCTGCAGACAATATTAATTTCGTAGCCTGTCTTAAAAAGTCAAATAACCAGGGCATGTTTGACGCACTGTTTTGAAATGAATCGTAATAGCCGCAGGACCAAGGCTGATGATATGTTAAAAATGTTCATTTCAAATCTGCAATTAATGTCAGATAATTTGGAAAATCAAGTAATTTTTTTCTCAAGTTTAAACATTTCATATAACTCATATCAAAGATACATCATGCAATAATTTATTTTAAAAATCAAAGGTGAATAATTATAGTTTTCCAAAAACAAAAATATTACTACTATCAATTTTTTTTAAACGTGTCAATATTTGATGGTATCATTTGTCAATTTTGAATGAAATCCAGCCACACTGTAATTCTGAAACGTGGACTACTACAAATGTACCCAATAGGAGGCAGTAATGCAACTATAAGAAAACTAATGCTGCCAATGAAACCCCCCAAAAAAGATGTGAGGCTGGTGGTTTGCAGCCTAATCTAAATCAACATCAACCTGCAGAATAGCCTGATTAGTTTATAATTTTTAAATCTGAATTTTAATGTATTGTTTTAAATTCCATTCTAAGATGCATTTGTTTTCCCTATAATTTATAATGAGAAATTAAAAAGTCCAATTTGTTTGTATGTTATATACAAGTTTTCTCCTGTTTGAAATCGCCTGAATCTGGCGTCAAAGTTTAGGTGGATGTTATTTTGTAGCCTAGACAATAGTTATCGACTGCCTGACTCTTAAGAACAGAGAAGGTCATTCATTCAATTCTCTATTGGCCCATAAAATTCTGTTGGACACACTGTCCTCAGCCAGCCATGTGGATTACGACTGCAACATGGTGGTCTCCAACATGTAGCTTCAGTGTGTTTTAGTGGCCTCCTAGTGCAACTAGAAGGCAGATTTTATGGCTTCTGAAGATCCACTTTGAAGCGATGGACAGTGGTGGTAAAATTCTCGTAATGTCAGGAATGTTTTTAGCCATAATATTTGTCTTTTTCATGTGTTTTTAGACAGTTGAAGCTTGTGATCCAAGACAGATTTCTGGGTGAATGCACAGTAAATAATGGTCTTAACTTTTACCTTTAGTTCAAATTTGTCATTAAGAATCAGTGTGCTAATATTTAACAGGGTGGTTGGTTAGCATGTAACAGTGACTCTATATGAAGTGTTACCATAAAAGCATTATTTCTATGACTTACATATTAGTAGAAGAACAAACAAACAAATTTGAATTTAGAAAAATAAATTGATCCGTATTTCATCAGCCAAAGTTTTATGGGGAAAATTAGTCTAATAATTCATTTGTTTGGTTGGTAGCGGGATGTAAATGTTTCCCAAGGTCTCCTAGTCTGTATGCCAATGTGTCCCTGTGTATCACACTAATCCACACAGTGGATTATATTTCACCCTCACTGTCCATCGAGGAATTAGCTCGAGGGGGCTAGGTGTCATGGTCAGCCTGGTGTGTGAAGTCTTGCCCAAGGACACAGAGACAACTTTCTGGTTGGAAGACATTTCAAGTTTCTTTCTAACAAACAACCCAGATATGTGAAATAGAGGAAATGTTGCAAACAGATGTTCCAGTGTGTTGGTAAAGGAAACGTAGTGGACAGAGGCTAATGTGATCGCCCTAATCAGGGACAATCTGACAAGTTCATCTGAATAATCACAGGTTAATTTGTTATCTCTGCTAATTGCTGGACCAGAAAGACAAATAACAGCATATAGATCAAATGTGTCAAACTCAGGCCCAGGGGCCAAATCTGGCCCGCTGTGTAATAATAAATGGCCTGCAAGATCATATCAAATGCGTACTAGAGTTGGCCCGTCAGTACAGCCCCTATATACTGGCAGGATTTATAATATTAGAGGTTTATGCGCTATGTTAGGGCGCATACATTTTGGGGTTTTTTGGTGGCCTGTGAAAAAAAGATTTACATTAAAAAGGAACTCAAAAAGCTACAGATAAAGAGACATAATAAGAAACAAATACTACTGAGGTGTGCGTATTAAGCTTTAGTTGTTCCAGATTTAATGTTTACACAAAACTAAAGGTCGTTTCCATATGAAAAACTTCTACCTTGGAGAGAAGGTAAAACACGCAGAATTGCCATCAATCTTTCAATACATATGAAGTTTGGCCCCTGACTTTCTCCCAGTTTTTAATTTTGTCCCACTGTGAATTTGAGTGTGTCACCCCTGATATAGATGTAAGTGTTCCACAACAGTTTTTATTTGTGCATTATCCAAAACAAAGAATCATCAATATGGATATATTTCAAGAACAATTTGAGAGACCTTCTAACATATCTGCTTTGGCACCTTTGGTTTTACAGCTTCCTCACTGACAGATCTGCCCTACATGACCATTCAGCAGCAACCGCTCTGCTGGTCATTGGCTTTTTTACTATAGTTAATATTATGTAGGAAAGGGAATAAAAAGAGCAGTGTTTCAGCATGTACACATGAAGGAAGATACATATAACATCAAAGTTCTTTGACTCTAGTGGTTGTTTTTTATGTCAGAAATGTAATATTTGTGATCTATTAAGTCAGATAGCACTAGTGCATAATTCTTCATGAAAGAGAAATTTGTCTAAGTTCTCAAGTGCACAGAAAGATTAGAGGTTGGAACTCAGTGATGATGTGACAAGGCCATTATTTTTGTTGCTGGATGTATTTGTTATGGTAATGTGTTGGTATATATGAGAGTATATGTTATATATATATATATATAGTTGTAATTTATAAATGTCCTTGTTTAGTTGTTACATCTCGCTAACTGCTAACTGCAGCATCTTCTAGGTTTCGATTGTGAAATGGGGAAATGGTTTGAGGTCAATTTATTGGAGATTTGTTTTATATATTTCAATTGAAGTTTTCTTACTTAAAAATGTGCATTGAAACAAATGGAAGGAATCGGTTTATTATATTATCTTTACAGAACATGTAAATCTGTACAATATTGAAAAATGTCATCACTGTTAGCCATTACACACAGATGATGACTTTTCTAACACAAATGTCTGTTGTTTCCATGGAGTACATATGTTATCCTTAGTCTGGCTGCCGGATGAGTGGAGAGTGAAAACCAACTTATTTGTTTTGTTGTTTTTTTCTCTTTAGTGATCATGGAAAGTGATGATGTCAAGACACAGAACCATCAAAACTGCACGCTGGTGTCTCACAGAGGCTTCAATCTGATCAGCGGTACACACGACCCCGATGAAGTAGATCAGATTTATAACCTAGACATCAGAGATTCCGACGTGTTTGTGGTCACATACCCCAAGTCAGGTGAGGAGCAGCTGAAGGCAGAAAAACACACACGCAGACACACATTGGCTTTATTGTGACTTGTCCGATGTCCAGCAGTGGTGAGATAGAGTGCACTTGAGGTCAGTGTGATTTCAGGAGCTCCCAGCCCAGGGGAAGGAGCAGGAGCTGATTAGTATGTGCAGCATTTCCAGATGAATGTCCCGCTTCTTTGTGAGCTGCAAATTGATTTCAACAGAGAGCAGGGAATTAAACCATCAGGGAGACAAGTGTGTACTGTGGAAACACTGAAAGAGGAATGAGGAGAGAGTTTCACAGAGAGACGAGACTGGAGGAGTGGTGAGGCCGCGTCTGTGAGAGTCCTGATGGGATGAGACTGGAGAGAAAAGGGGGAGGGAGAGCTGTAAAGTCTGGAAACAGTGGTACAAAGCAGCAAAGAGCAGAGAGTTGTGAAGAGACAAGGGGAGTGCTAATAAGGGGGGGACATCAGTGCTGCGGAAAAGTGACTGCAGGAGAGAAGTTCAGAAAGAAGAAAGGGAAGGAGACGGGATTGTTGGTGAAGACTTAATGGGAGTCCAAAGAGGATGAAACTACAGAGGAGAATTGGTGAAGATAGCTTAAGATTGTCAAGAGACAATAGAACAGTGAAGGGGCTTACAAAGAGTCGCTAGATGGAAGGGCAGAGGAAACCTGGAGGAGCCGTAAAGGTAAGGAGTCTGTAGGATTAGAGAAAGGTCAGGAGAGAGGAATTAGAGGAGGGAAGGAGGTGAGGCAAGAAGGGAGGGGGGTCAGATGAAGGAGACGGGGGCTAGATAAGAAGAGGAATGAGAAGGTGAAAGAAGTGAAGTAAGAAGAATGAAAAATAAAAAGAAGAGGACACTGGATATAAAGGGCAGACTAAAAGAAGAAAGTTAAATAAAAGGACCAGAGGAGGGCAAAATCATTTTGACATGACATGATTGCATACTTCATGGGCTTTTCTCAGCTCCACTGATGGACCATGGTTGTATCTCAGCTGGGTTATAATTATGTGCTGTGACTGAATTCACAGAAACCTTTGTCATTTCTCTTGGTGTGTTGGGCAGGGACCATCTGGATGCAGCAGATTCTTCTGCTCCTGGAGGCCAAAGGAGACATGACAGCCATCAGCCAAGTCAACAAATGCTCCAACGGTGATCTCATCCCCTGGATCGAGTTGAACGGCAACATACAGGCCTTCATCGCAGCGCCCTCACCAAGGCTGAGAGTCACACACCTGCAGTACCAGTTCATGCCTGCTGCTCTGGGCCACAAGGGCAAGGTAAGAACTTTAACCATACACAGCCACATATAAACCTTTTTAGACGTTGATAATGATTTATAATACTAATTCAGAGGGTTGTGGTTTTATTTGTGATTGTGTAGGTCTTTTGACAGCAAAAATATGCAATTGCTTTCCGTCCAAGTAGATTCCCCACATGTTCAGAACAAATACGTCAAGGGCAGTTTTAACATCAATCGCTGTCAGTGGTAAAAAAAAAAAATTACATTAATGTTTGTCAACACAGCCTACATGTAGAAAGCCAAACAAAGGGTGTAAGGGTTGCTCCTCTCTCAGTCCCTATACCAGGACTTTATCTGTTTGTAGGTGATTTACGTGGCAAGAAATCCCAAAGACGTCCTGGTGTCATACTTCCATTTCCATAAACTCGCCAACATGTTGGAAACTCCAAAAGATTTCAATGGCTTCTTCGAAAAGTTCATGAGAGGAGATGGTAAGGAGATGGTGCATCTTTTGTTTTTGAGTGTTTGTGAAGAGGCACTGACACTGTGCATTGCTCATTGCAGTGTTCGCCTGCCGCTGGTTTGATCACGTTAAGACGTGGCACTCACACAAGGACGACATGAACATGCTGTTCATCACTTATGAAGAAATGATCCAGGTAGGAGCTAATAGTGTTTCAGTCTGTGCGTTTTCACATGATGCCGTACGACTTATTGTTGTCCACGGGTTTTGTTCAGGATCTGCAGTCTGCTGTGGAGAGGATCTCCCTGTTCCTGGGTAAACAGCTGACAGACAAGGAACTGGCCAACGTCGTAAAGCACAGCACCTTCAACAACATGAGAAAAATCCCTCAGGCCAACTACGAGCAGGTGCCAGTCGACCTTCTCAACCACCACCAGGGGAAATTCATGAGGAAAGGTTGGTACGGCTACAGCTAGAAAACAAATCTGTAATTGGGAATGGACCATTATTTAGGAATTACAAAATATTTTGCTTTCAAATACAACGTATTTGAGAAAATATTTCCTATTTTCCCAGTCCAATTTAGTTAGTAAAGGATAAACTAGTTAGAAATTGAACCGGTAACAAACTTAAACAATGTTGAGATAGTACAGAGAAACGTTAGGTCATAAGCTGCTCAACAGACAGTCTCCATTGTTTGATTCTCCTCTTCGTGATGTTGAAGGCATTTAACTATACAAATCTGGACAGCAAGCAGGCCAGTATTGTCCCACATTTGTATTTTTGCAGAACGAGGCCTGAGGAAGAAGTACATTCCGTATATCTCCTAAAATTGAAATAAATGTCTTTTCACTGGTCCGTAAACGTTTAGAAAGTAAAAGTAAACTTTTTATGTTTCTCTTCGCCTATAAAATAAGACTAGTAGCAGGAATAACCTTGTTCTTTTGATTGAATAAAGGTTCACTTCAAACAAAGATGGCTGTGCTGTACAGAAAGCAGAGTTTAACGATATATATACAACCAGGTTTTAACAAGACACAGGTGTGGTTTTTATGAGTTAGGGATCAGATTTAAACAAGCAAATGTAAAAACCTTCAGCTGCATGCTTCAAAAAAACATTTCTTTTAGTAGAGAACGCTCACATAAAAGTAACATGTGAAATGCAATGCACTCTAGCCTAAAGTAAAATAATAGACAAACTTTTTTTTTTATCTTGAACTTCAGATCAACCATAACAGCAATAAAAAGGTTACATACATGTTGAAGACATGCAGGCTCTATATTAATTCAAAATCCTCTAAAACCTGTGAAACCTGGGCTAATTATAAATGTTCTCCACTGTCTCAAAGAACGGCATGAAAACACACAAATTAAATCCTGAGATTCAGTTCTGATCCACACTGACGGTAGACTGAGTGAAGATTAGCAGCACTGGAATAACCTTGTTCTTCTGTTTAACGTCAGGCACCATTGGTGACTGGAAGAATCACTTCACTGTGGCCCAGAATGAAAGGTTTGACGAGGTCTTCAACAGAGAGATGAAGAACTTCCCTCTGTCTTTTATCTGGGACATTGGAGACATTCAGTGATCAGTTGTTCATCTCATGACAATGACAAGAAGACAGAGATGAAGACAGTAGCATAAAGAACTCTGTGTTCCACAGAAACACCTGGTCCTATTTCCACTGTATTATACTACTATAATTATTATAAAAACTTTATATATTTGTATATTACATTTCACTTTTTTTGCTTTTATTCCGTAGGATACCAGAATTCAGTTTCCTCACAAAATGGGCTTCACTCACACGCAGTGCTAATGAACGATGATGAATAATTTATGCTGAAATCTGGGATTTTCATAAACTTCTTCATTACTTTGTTGGAACGTGCATATGAAAAATGATGAAGGCTGCATTATGTGAAACACAAATTTTTGTTTAACTATATATTAAGCTGTCTTTTTTACCTTATTTATTTACTCTTACTTTTTTACTTTCTTTAAGCAACGCAACAATACATGTTGTCTCTGTTGTTTATAAAATACTAAAAGGACTAAGTAAACACGTGTGCTTTCACTCAAACCTGAGCTAATTTAGACATTGATGCCCAGAATACAACACTGAAGTTGGGACAGATGGTATTGTGTCCCTGAAAAAAAAAAAAAATAAGGATCTCCGATATTATCGGCCCGATATTAGCATAATCATGTAATATCTGTAAGAATCGTTATGGGTTTTTCCTCCAAAAATGAAAACCCAATAATGCAAAACCTGGGAAATAATGTGTGCCCTAAAAATACCTTTGGGTAAAAACGACTGTACATGAAAGTGAAAGTCACTAGATGGCAGCATTGCAGCTGGGAGCAGTGGGACTTAACTTCCTTAACTACCAGTATCGGTCTCAGTTGATATCGGAATCAGAAATTAGGGGGTTGGACAATATCGACATATCGGATATCGGCAAATAGTTAATCGGATCTCCCGAGTAACAGAAGACATGTTTTTGACTGGCTTGTCTGCAGCCCAGATCTGCAACGTTGAAAATGCCAGATGCAAAGGATAATTTAACAACATTTATCATGTCATCAGCTCAATTTAAATGAACTGCTTTTAAAAAAAAATATATACTGAATAAATGAGACAATTAGGTGAAAGACAAGGCATCAGAATGTATATTTTGCTAACACATTCACTAAGACAAAGTACAAAAATGTGTGTTTCTACCAGTCATCAATCTGTTGGTGGTACTGTGGACACAGCAACACCATTTGTGTGAAAAAGAGAATATTTCCCGCAAACATTTATGATTGAGACCCAGACTACAAACATGATCTTAGCTTGTGAAATACTGTATATATCATTTTAAAGCTGTATATACAAGTTGTAGATACAGTACATGCTATTTTGAGCCAATACTTCTATATGGACCCTACTGTATTTACTCAGCGGCATGAATACACAGAAGGCAAAACTGTGGTCTATAAGTAAGACATGGGTGCAGTTGTAACAGCAGACTAGTTGCAAATGGACGCTGCAGAAAAAACGAATGTGTTTCACTGGTTTGAGAGTAACTCCATTTGAATGTCTTTTTGTGGATCGGTTCTTTGGCTTTTTACTGTTAATGGTTTTAAACAGTTCAATCTGTGTGGTCCACATATAGTCATCAGTTGTTTTCCATCCATTTTGCAAAAAATATGAATTAACATTAGGGTTTTTGTTTTATAAATGTTGTTCTCTTTTTTATTGTCTGCATAAGCCAAAAACTGTCAGGGTAAGTATTCATTTTTTTAAACTTTTTCTTTATTTTATTTGAAAAAAAAACTGTACTGATAAGAACTGGAATCAGAATATTTTTGTAACAGATTGAGTGGAGTGAACATGTACCAGGACATTTGTGAAGTAATGTTCTTGCTCCATTAAAACATTGCTCCACTCGTAGAAATCCACTTGCAGAGAAGGTTTGTGTCATGTTCCAATTTTACCTTTGTGATTAGACTCAAATCAAACTTTTTCTTGCTGACTTGGACAATTTGAAATTCTGGGGACTTCACGTGACTCTTACCTTTTACTACCACTGAGACTTTGACCTGAAACCTAGGAGACTCGATTCAAGTTCCTGTGCTTGGACTTTGAGCTTGACTAGAACTTTCATTTTGTGATATTGACTTAAAGGCTTACATCTGTGGGAACTTGACTCGACTTCACAGTCAAACTTATTCATCTGTGACTCAGAGTCTGACTCCAAACCATGACAACTGATTTTGACTCACTTCTTATATTTCTGCAGATTTACAACCACAAGGCCTAGATTTGGACTGTTCAGGAATGTGTCTGTACTGTAAATACTTGCACATGAACTCAACTTGGACTTGACTAGTCAACTCTGACCTAAAACCCTGGGACTTACAGTATCTCTGTATGGACTCGAACTGTTCTGTAATGATTTGACTGGATTTGACTTTTTTCTTCATGCACTCCAACTCAAAACATTGAGAACTAACTTCGACTGGACTGAAACGTTCTTCAGTGGTTTGAACATGAGATCAAATCATTGATTATTATGAAAACGTTCTAATCTTTCAGACCTGCTAAACAATGACAGAGTTAGTAAACAGTCACAGAGTTTCAGAGCAGAGTGAGGTAGATGTGCTGATGTATTCACATACAAAGTCAGAAGTGAGCAAATGACCCCATGACTACAGTAAAGATCTATGACCTGAGATCACAGTCATTTCTATGTAGTTTATCAGTGTTAAATTAAGGTCATGATAGAACACAGCGTACATCATGAGATGCAGTGCTGCTCTTCTGAACTGATCTTTTTTTCCACTTTAAATTTGTAGTGGTGGTTGTTGAGGGTTTCATAACCAGAGAGCCAAAAAAAAAACCCTGAATTTCACAAAAATGAATTCTTTGTCTTACTGAGAAAAACACAACAAAATAATTACTGTTACCGACTAAACTAAAATGAACAGATACAGTATTATATCTGTTTTTGCTGTGGGGTGCACTATGACCCTGTTGCAACGCAGAAGCCCACTGTAGCATAATTGTGTTATTTATACCTTGATGTTGAAATGACTCTACTTTTCAACATAAACCACACATTCAAAAACTGATTTTAAAGAATCATATTTGTAATCAGAGGGTTGCTGGTTCACTCCCATGGTACGTCAGGAAGTGAAGCCCACTGCTACTGGGATATGGCGTCATTTCACAAGTTGTTTCAAAAAAACTTCCTAAATGTAATAAAAAATAAAAGTTATATATTTTCCTTTGCTCCACGTGTTCAAAACTCAGTTGTTAAAACTCAATAAAAACCAATTTCTTAAACATTGAATTTAAATGGTCAATTTAATGTGTTGTTAATAACGGTTGATTTTAACCAAACAAATATTGAGTTAAAATAATACTATTGTACAATGTTATACGAATAAGTCAGCCAATTATAGCAACGCTTTATTTCTTATTTATTCTTGATGTTTCAATGCCCTCTGCTGGCCAAATGACGTGCACGTTACCAGAAGGTTCGACATCAAACAGTTTCTCGGCAACAGGAGGCGTAATTGTGTTTAACTGTTTTTAGATGCCGTTTTCCTCAACAACTGTAAGAGTCTTTAAAAAAAATGCATCTCTCGGATCTTCTTCCTGTGTGTGGGCAGATGATCATATCTCAGAAAGGAGAAGAAGCTCCTAACAGTGTTGAACTATAGTCCCGCTTTAGTCTTCATCGCTGCCTATGTCTAAAGGATCAAAGTCCGGGTCGTCCTCATCCAAGTCCAAATCCTCAATGTCCTGAAAGAGTGATTCGTCCACCTCCACACTGTTTCCAGCTGCAGAACCAAACAGAGAAAAGGATGGGTCGAATTTGTGTGTGTATATATATATACACATTTCATATATATATATATATATATACACATTTCATATATATATATACATTTCATATATATATATATACACACTTTCTAAAAAAATACTTTCAGGGCCACTGAATATTTTAAAGGAACTGCTTACTGTCTTCAAGGAACTGGATGTCTGATGTGTCCAGGTTGTGGTCTCTCTCAAACAACTGTTTACCTGTTGAAGATAATAATGTTTAATTATGAGAGAACAAAGAGAAACAGTGATGACTCTATGACCCTAATGAAGATTTTATCTGTTGAAGTGTTGGTATGAGAGCAGGACTTCACCTGTCAGTTTGGATTTTCCCGCCTGCTCATCTTCCTTCTGTTTTTTTCTCCTCAGCTCATTCATCTCCAGTTCGAACGAGGCCTTCCAGGCTAAAAAGCTTTCAATGGTTACCACCGTGCCCTGAAACGCAACCTGTCAAACAAAAACATCTTGTGAGTTAAGTAAAAGTTGTGGGTGGTGAAATTTCAAAATGTCATTTTTTAACACTATGGTACATGTTTCCTTTATATACATGAACAGCCTCTGCAGTCAAAAGTCAATTTTCTCTCTTTTAGTATTTTTCATTATTATCATAATGAAAAATACTGTTCTTACCTTCTCTGCTTCCTCTGCTTCTCTCTCTTTCCTCTGTTTCTCTTCTTCTTGTCTGTTTTTGATCTGATCCACAATTTCATTGAGTTTCTCCTGGACAGCTGTCACCAGGGTGAAAATCATCACCATGCCCAGGTTTTCTTCTGCCTGCACAGAAATCACATGTACATGTGTTTTACTGATAATCCTAATTTTTTAACAACACCAGACAAATTTTACATCCATATATACTTCCATATATAACAAATGCTGCCCTCCGCTGGTTATGATAGACTACATAGAGCAGAGATTGACAGACCTGTTGTTGAAGCAGAGCAAGAACGTCTTCTGCATCACTGTCCTCTAGGTTCTCCTGGGAATAGATCTCCCACAGAGGAGGCTCATCTGGGTACTTTTCTACATATGTAAACTTTAGTGTAGCTTCCACAGCTGCAAAGGAAAGAAGGTTAAGTGCACGACGTACACAATCTTGACACAGAATCAATTACATGTACACCCACTCACTGTAAATGTGTATGTATTGTTATTGATCAGGTAAATTACCTTGTATTAGTTTTTTCTCTGTCAAATTAAGGTTCTGGTTAACTTCTTAACCAGATTTGACATAAGTAACACGTTTAAGAATGTTTTATTTAAACACTTATATGTTACTTATACGGTTTCTACATAACATGTAATCTTATTTCTGTGACAGTATACTCACTTTCATCATTTTCTCCTGCATCTGACGTGACAGTGATGGTAAAGCTGGTGGGGTCATCTGAAAGCACTTTAAAAAAAAAACGTTTTGGATAACTTGATTATTACGCTATAGGTTGCATGAAGTCGTCAATTTAAATGATTAATACATTGTTTGTTCCTGTCCACCTAGGTACCAGTAAAGATAACAATGAAAGTTTAACAACGTGAACTGAATGGAGTACTTCTACACTGGAAAGTAGTCAATTAGCTTTACTTGTTAGCATATAAGGTTTAACCGTCTCTGTGTGTGCTAGGACAGACAAACCTGTATAAGAGTCTGGGTAGATTGACTCTATTGCCTCTAGTTCATTCCGCTGCTCCTCGGCGTAGTCTGTCATTTTCTGTTGATCCGTGTTAGGTTGACGTTAGAAAATTCATCCCCGCTAGGCTAACGCTAACACACATACGCTTAGTGCTGCGTGTTGGACAGTGGCGATCGATGCGATCGTCCTTCCGATGTTTTAGTCTGATGCCGGTGTAACCTGTAAACAGTTTTGTGATATCGATTGGTTTGGCCTGTGAGTACAAGACAGGAAGCTGGGTTGAAAAAAAAACTTTATTTATATGATTCATGAACACAGTCACACTGTCGCCAGTGACAGAACTAGTTCATTAGTTCTCAAGACCTTTAAATATACTGTATATTTGAGTCTGGGTTAAATAATTAACCATGTCTTTGTGTCTGTTTAAAGCTATTTTGACGTATCTGATCGTTTTTTAGCTTTGAAATTCGTCTAAGTAGCTTATTGGCCTTTCCACTGTGTGCATTAATTACATAGTAACTTTTTAGTATGAAATCAAATTTGGTTAAAGGTAAATAAAAATGTAGACAATGGTGTGTGTATGGTTTTTTTTTTATTCACAGAATAATATTGACTCTTATTTTTGAAGACTTATTCAGGAATCTATTAGACGGGTATGTTGACGGGTATGTTGTGTGTGTATATATATATATATATATATATATAACCATAAAAAAGGCATTGCTCCATATATTGAGGGAAATAAGAGCATTTTCATTTATGTTTGAGAAATGTTTATTTTTGGAGACTTTTTCAGAACCGTATTTGTACAATATTACTGTTATCAACGGTGGATATACCATAAAAGTATATTTTTAAATTATTAAAATATGCAAAACAATGAAACATACCCAGATTTTCATCAGTGTTGTTTCATCACACCACAAACAATACTGGAAACGTCATCAAAAATAAATTGAGCTCTTATGTTACATTTTAATGTGGCAAAGTAGACTATGACTCTAAAAATAAAAATGTTAAATTAATGCAGTTTAAAGGAAAAAAAGCGTACCAATCATTGTCAAAATGTCATTGCGCTGATGTAAACAGTGTTACAGAGGTAGGAGGATAAATGTGTTTAGATGAGTGGTTATGCCCTTGTGTATTGCCTCAGTTCAGACTGCACAATTAGAAGCAGATTAAATCAGGTTCATTATTATGGACAACAAGAAAGATAAGCTCACACAGAGGCCTAACAAATCTCCCTCAAGCCATTTCTATTCCATCCTTGAACTCCATGACATGTCTCCTCTCTGGGGTGAAGTCTCGGTCTGTCCTCTCTACATACTGCTGCAAAGTGCTGTAATACTGCTCACTCCTGGAAAAGTTGTAATATTCAGAGATTTCTTCCCACGCCCTGTGGTTAGGAAAAGGAAATGGAATAGGACTCTTGTTCTCAAAGAAGCTCTGCAGGTTTCTCTCAGCCAGCTTGGTGGCATAGTCCAGAGCGTAAGTGTCAAAAAGGTCCTTCTCTTTCTCTGTGTATCGTTTCCAGAATGTCAGCTGCAGGTAGCTGACTTTGGAACGACAATTTTTACAGCAGGTTCCCACGAGTCCCACGATGGCAGAGATAATGATAATACACCAGCCCAGGATCTGTGGAATGACACATAGACTGACACTCAGAACTGTTGATTATAATGACAGGTTAACGTGTGCACTCTCAATTATTTTTTAGGTTCATTTCTGTTACTGGACAAAATCATTTTTCCAACTCATGACACTGTTATTTAGGATTACAAAATTATATTGGAAGGACAAAAAACTAGATTTATTTAAATATTTCCTACTCGTCCCCCGCCACTTCAACCAACACTATGTGTAAGAAACAGGTTTTTATAGTTTATTTAAACTGTCCACATGCTCAGGTGTGTGTCCCTCACCTGAGACTGGGCCCTGAGCATCAGCAATAGCTCCATGCGCTCATCACTGGACAGTTTGGACCGATCACATGGCACACGAGCCAGCTCTTCCCGACACTTCATGGTCTTGTTTTTGCAAAACACATCTACTACCAGATTATCATCAAGACCGCTGACAGCACATTCATAAAAGGTCCCATTGAGCAGGGCCACTGAGAGCCACATTATTGGGGCCACGCAAGCCCCAGTGAAGATGCTCATTAACCCCTTGAGGCAGCCGTAACAGTTCCCACGGGGACAAAGCTTCCTGGGACTGAGACAGCAGCCTGTGTAGAGCCTCCACAACCTGGTACTGAAGAACAGGCCAAAGACCAAAAGAACTACAGCAGGGCCCAGAAGAAAAGTCAGTCCATATGCAAAGTTCTGGTCATGGTTGCAGGGACACTGAAAGGAGACCATGGAGAAAACCCGTTCTCCACCTATAGTAAGGAGAGCCATAAAGCTGTAGCCAATGGTGGCTTTCTGATCCAAGAAAAAACGCAGGACGGTCTTGAAGTTATCCATGGTTCACACGCTCAATAAAAATCCACACAACACTGTAAAAATGATCGTAGGAGAAGAAAAGTTGTGGCTGCTGCTTCAAGTCATTCCCTGTTGCTGTTTACAGCTCAGCAAAAAACACAAAGGCCAAGCCTCTCTATGCTCCTCCCTTAGACTGAACCTCCTTCCAGGCTCCTCCTTCAGTCAGTAAGACACTTCCTACTGCTCATCAACTCGTTCGTAACAAATCCTCTGTTCTTCAGAGGGAAGTCCCTGCTTCACAGCCTCCAAATGAAAAGGTCATCAACGCCCTTTTTTTTAGATCCCTGTATCTCTGCAGCATGGGAAATCCTGCTGGTCTGGTTTTTAGATCAGCGGTTTGTGACAGTTTCAGTGATGTTAACTGGTACACCAAGGGGAAACAAAAGACACTGCAACATTCTCAGTCTTCTGATTCAGTTGTATTACATTTTCAGTGTTACATCAATCACAAAAATCCTGTTTTCAACTACCCTTCAACTACCCTTTTTTCTGCACATCAAAAGTGCATCAATGCACTGAAGCAAATGTACATTTGTAGCAGAGAAGTGATCACATCCTCTTTGTGGGTTTTTTCCATTCCATTGCCATAAAAGCAACTGCTCTGAGTGCATATAACAGTGGGCTCTGCAGCCTTTTCATACATTATCTCTATGTATGGACACCATCATTACTATGCTACTGTTGTCCAGACTAGCACGTGTTTCAGCAGAAGTTTCGTTTCCTAGAAGCTGAAAGTAAATAGCCTACAGTCAAACAGCAGAGGACAGGAAGTGCTTCTCACATTTAAAAACAATGTCATGACCTGATTCTGCACACACAGGTGTGTTTCATTGATTCATCTCACAACACTTTTTAATATAAAACTGACCATTTCTAGTAAATGGTAAAGAAGATGTGAGAGGTGAAGTCTCCCACAGTTAAAAAGGAAGCAGGATTATGCAAATTAGCCTTCTGGCAGATGAGAAATGTTCCAGAAGATTTAACTCTTGATTTTACAAAATTAATCAAATACAACCATGGGTTCAGATTACTTTACTAGAATATTGGTGGGATAAAAGAGATGGTGAATAATGTTTAGTGCCATTATTTGTTCCTGGAATGAGTTCCTCTGAATTTTGGCATTTGATTAATAACATTTGATTGATTGGCTGGTTGATCAACTGAAATCTACAAACTAGTGTAAGATATATAGTATATGGATGCTGAAAACCCCTCACATTGGAATCCTGCCATCATCTACAAAGTGAAGAACTGCAGGGTTGTTATCATGAGACACGACTGAGCCAAGCCTCACACTTCCATGCTCTTTACACGCTACAAAACGATGCAAAGTGCTGTAGTACTGTTTTTTGGCACTGAACTTGTAGAGTGATGAGATCTTTTCCCAGTCCTGGTTGGATGGTGTGACGATGGCTTCAGGGACCGTCTGGTCAAAGAAACTTTTTAGATTCCTCTCAGCAAGTTCTTTGGCATGTTTTTCTACATATGAATCCATCAGCCTGCACTCTTCCTGAGCATACGATCGCCAGAACCTGAGCTGAAGGTAGCTGATAGGGGACATGCACCGAGCCAAACAGCTCAGGAGCAAGTTGGTCAGCATGATGGAGGCGATGAGCAGCCAACCTAGAATCTGCAGTTATCAAAGAAACAAATACATTATACAGTTTTTTAATGTAGAATATATTCTATATCAGTACTTCTAGGTTGTACATAAATAAACTTTAGAAACACAGGAGGAAAAAATGGAAGAACCTGATCAGCAAAACTATCACAGTAAAACAGGTTCTGAAAGTAAAACAGCTAAAATTAAAATCTCCAAAGTTTCATCACAAATTGAAAAAAAAGCAGTTTCACAAATATGGAGTTATTGAGACACCTTTTAGAAAATGTGTAAGAGCTCAGTATTCCCACATCCATTTCTGACTGGCTCCAAACAGACATTTTTCCCAGTATTTGAGAGATATTAAAGCAGTACTTTAACTACATGGCCTATAAAGTACAAAGGGAGGTCTGTTTATTAGCTACTTATAAGTCTGACTTGTTGGAAAAGAAGATACAGCACTAACCTGAGACTCAGCTTTAAGAGCAAGCATGACCTCTCCAGCTCCTTTTATATCTTGATCACAGGGGAACTTTTGAAGATCTGCACAATCAGCCTTGGTTTTGTTACACAAATCACTGATAAAAGCAGTGGTCCCAGTCCTTAGACACTCATAGTATTTGCCACTGAGCAGAGCCACGGCAATCCATGTAGAAGGTGCCACCAGTGCTGTATTGCTGATCTGGAAGAGGATGGTAACGGTGACCTTCAGCCTTTTACAGCTGCACAGTTTTTCTTTGCGGTAACACAGACCTGTCAACAGCTTCCATGTCTTCTTGTTCAGAATGTAACCCAGCAGTAGAAGAGCCAGAGCAGGTACCAGTAAGAACACAATGCCATATATGAAGTTCTGATCATTGCATGGACAACTGAAGACAGCTGAGGAGAAGATCTGCTCCCCTCCCGCTGTTATCAGGGCCAGCAGTCCACAACCCAAGTTGGTCTGCTTGCTCGCAATGCTGAGAACTGTCTTAAGCTTGTCCATGTCGAAACCCTGCAGCAGAGTGACTGTTTTCTGACAGTCAGACTTTTACTTCCACCTTTTACATCTAACTTTCAACACCACCCACTCAACCACTGGTAGTTGAGTGTCACCGCAGTAGCCTTGCAGTGTGTCATTCACAACAGATTTACAGAAGTTGCTATTACATTTCAAGAGATTACAGAAATTCCCTTCAAAAGCAATTTTCTCTAAGGATTCCTGTCAAATGTTTATTATTTTAATCTCTGTAACAGTCTAACAGCCCCACAAGACCTTAATTTAAAAAAAATGTATTTTATAATGTAATAAAAAATGAGAACAACAACTGTATTTGTACTACATTAATGTATTGAACGATGCACATTGATGCAATGGTGATCTGTGACTACCTATGTTGAATGGATTGCAGGGTAAATAAAATGTGATTTAAACAACCTGGGTTACAATAAATTATAGACTTTCAGCAGATCAATCTGGCGACATTTCATTGAGTGGTATTTGAGATTTTAAAAAATGACAAACTTTATTTATTTTATTATGATTATTATTATTATAGTCTTTATTGTCATTGTAACATGGGGATACAACCAAATGTGACCTCTGCTTTTAACCCATCACCAAGGTGAGCAGTGGGCAGCTTTAAGCGCCCGGGAGCAGTAGCATGTGGTGTAGTAGTTAAAAATCAGATTTTTTTTAGGAATTTTCAAAACTGATCCATGGCAGTGTTTTGAGCAACACAAAAATCACCAACTCTCAAGCACACTTTGTGTACAGCATCACTAGAATGGCTGTCTTAAATGCAGAGTAGAATTAGAGTGTAGGATTATATGGGCACTGAAAGATAAAAATGTTATATTTGTGTTTGCCTGATACATCAATACCATTTTACAAAGTTTTTGTTCTTGTTTAGATACAGTTTAAGAAAAATGTAATTCTATTTAAAACATTTGCTGTAGTACTAATCAGAATTTTGCTTTCAAGTATTTTTGAAAGGAGTCTTCCAGCTAATATACATTTTTCAATAAGCACTGTAAATTCAAAGCTTTGATCTTTGATCATAAACAAGAGCTTACTCATGGGATAAAAATAACTTTTAAATAAATATAATTTCAGTGAAGGAACATCTCACCTGCAAAGAAAGTGGGAGACTACAGACTGCAAAGCAAACTAGAAAAACTCTCAACTAGCCTTTAAGACCATAAGCTTCTAATCAAAATGTTTACTGGTTCTCTTTTGTTAGCCATACAGGAAGCCAACATCATGGCCTGCAGAGAAAGGATAGACTTTTCATGTAAATAAAAATGTTGGTTTAATTAAAACAATGCTTTATACATTCAGGGAACTGCGCACATTCTAGAGAAAACCATGTTGTTGTTTTTATTTTAAATCAAACATGTTTTTTTTAATAACATAAAAAATCTTTACTAAGGGTGCTTTAAAACATTGTTATTTACCATATGTCCTCGTTCTGGCATAGGGGCGCTGTAGCGCCAAAACGCGAATGTTGCAACTCATCAACCACCGGCGAAAAATAATCTTTTTAGAGCGGACCAACAGAACACTCTCAGTCAAATACTGGGAAAATTAAACATTTACCCTTGCTTTCGGTATTATTACAGTCGGCTAACTGATTTCACTTTAATTACATCCCACAAAAAAATCAGCATTTTTTTAATACACCCAAAAAGAAGTTAAACATGGCGGAAAATGCAGGTAAGTGTCAATGCTAGCAAGTTAGCCAGCTCCGGTCAGTTAGATGTAGCTCTCTATCATATGCAGCTAAATGAACTTTGCTAGATGATTAAATAATTCATTTTTGTGTTGAATCAGGCATTTAATTTCCAAGTTGTTTGAAAACAGGCAGTTGTGTTATTCTTATTTCCATTATCCTCTTTATTTAACTATGTAGAACGGTAGCTTAGCCCACATGCATGTTTTGCACATAGATTCTTGTTCTGTCACACAGACAAGCTTTATGTTTAAACTTAAATTGGCGTACGGGCGTTAATATTACATTATTATCATTGCACGTGACATAAAATGCTACAATTCTATGCTGTCTGTAAGCGCATCAAAATGACAGTTTTCATCAACTGTGAAAACTGTCATTTTAGCTAATGAAAACGAGTTAAATATAGGTAGATATCAGCAGTTCTACATTTTACTTTTAAAATGTTGATTACTACTATAATCACAGTACTATCTTTTTGGCGTTATATGTGTAGTGAGCCACTCATCTTCTATAGCTAAATCCTGTTACAGGTTTTAGGGGAGCCTTAAAATGATAACCAAATGATAGATAGAAACGAAACAATGCAGGCTAATTCTTAATCTCAAGTCCATTATAGACATTGTAGCCACATATAGAGACGAACAACAAACCAAACTCACATTTACACTTTGTTTAATTCAAACCAAAGGGAAAGCATTATTGGTTTATGTAATGTCCCCATAAATCATCCCCTCGATGTAGTGATTTCATTCAGTTTTGTCAACACTGCCTGTTGCATTTTAGCCATTTTGAAAAATAATCATTTGCAAATTTCTTTTCTTTTCCCAATGTTTAAATTTAATACAGAACAAAATGAGGCAAAACATGACAGCTCTTCATCCCCTGGAATGACAGACCAAGAGAAAGAAATGGCAGCAAGTGCATATGAAGCATTTCTGGTAAATATTTTTTTACTGTTTACTTTGTGTGGATTTTATTTAGTGAAGCAAATTGTGGCCAGATACATCAACAGATAGAAAATCTGTCAGCAGGGAATGATTGTGCATGTGTACACTTTTTTTTTTCAAGTTTTTTTTTTATTATTTTTTTACAACAATATAGATTTAAAATTTTAGGTTTGAAATTGTGTTTTGCAAATATAATGAAACAGACTTTTGTTTCCCTTTAAGGCTGGAAAATACGATGAGTCTCTCAAACACCTTGACGCTTTGCAGGAACACAACAAAGATGATTACAAGATTGCCATGAATAAAGCTGTGGTAGAGTTTTATAAAAGTGGTCAGAGCACCACATGGGATCTGAAGGACACCCTAATGAAAATGAAGAATCAGGTAACTGCGGAGATGTGTTATGTTTTCTCTCATGGTTTCACTTGATATGGAACCTCTTTAGAGGAACGCCCTTGTAAAATATTGTTATTTTACAAAAATGTATTATTGCTGTCTTGTTTGACATGGAATATCCGTTATCTCTAAGGTTCACACATCAGCAGAAGACGTTGATGGGCTGGATGATGTTGAAAACAGTTCGCTGTACTACAATCAGGCCATCATCCACTATCATATGAGACAGTACTCTGAAGCCATCTCCATAGGAGAGAAGTTGTACCAGTTTCTTGAACCATTTGGTATGTTGTGGCACTTTTGATTCTTCAAATTCTATAGGCAAATTTGTGGATTTATAGTATGTGTCAGTCTTGAGTTTGGCATGGAGTAATTCTGCTATTTGTCCTTGAAGAAAAGTTTGCTCAGGCCGTTTGCTTCCTGCTTGTGGATCTGTACCTCCTCACCTTCCAACCAGAGAAGGCGCTCCATCTACTGGCTGTGTTGGACAAACTCTCTGTGCAAGGAAACAACAAGAATGGCAAAGGAGAGGTAAGATCTGTTTAATCACTGTAGAAAAAAGAAGCCACAGTTTTGTCAATGTCTGCTTTTATCTATTATTCCCTGTTTGTTCTTCTTTCATTTCACTTTCTCCTCTGTTACGTAAATGCTTTAACAAAGAATGCAATTATTAGGTTTCTGAGGTTTATCAAAAGTAAAATATTTTCTTTAAAAGTAAAATCCTTTTTCTTTTTTCTCTCATTGTGATTTCTTTTTCTCCTGATTTCATTTATTGACAGAACAACAATTCAACCAAAGAGGGAGCCAATCAAAAAGCAGAGTTCACAGCCATGAATGAGGCAGCTAAGTCAAAGATGCACCAGGTAACTGCTCTGTTCACAAAGTTCTGCATTTTCTATACTTCATTGCTCCATGTTGATGTTGACTACCTCTTTTTTTCTGTAGTACAAGGTGAGAGCCTACATTCAGATGAAGTCATCCAAGGCCTGTAAAAGAGAAATCAAATCAGTGATGAACACAGCAGGAAACGTGAGTAAATACTGAAGTTAGAAAGCCATCTTGCAAATCCTGACAGCAGAGTTCTGACTGGCTCTTTGATCCCTCCATCAGTCTGCCCCCTCGCTTTTCTTGAAGAGTAATTTTGAGTACCTGAGGGGAAACTACAGGAAAGCTGTCAAGCTATTGAACAGCTCCAACATCGCAGAGCATCCAGGTCCCATAAAGACAGGTGACAACCACAGCACTCATCATGATGATTTGATTTTCTCTAGTCAAGAGCCCATTAGCTGGCCTTTTAACTTAACTGTGGTTTCCTCCTGTATGTGTCTCATCATAAGATGATTACAGAGTGGATGTATTTAACCACATTAGAAACATTTATCTGTGCCACTTGATGTTTGATTGATATTATCCTTGTGTTTTGTTTTGTTTTGTTTTTTTCAGGAGAATGTGTCCGCTGTATGTTCTGGAACAACCTGGGCTGCATCCACTTTGCAATGGGGAAACATAACTTAGGCATTTTCTATTTTAAGAAGGCGCTGCAAGAGAATGACCACACGTGTGCACAACTGGGGGATGGCAACAATGGCCAGTGTAGGTCCCAAAAAGTACAGAAGGAGCTTTCATGCTCTCTCAAACTGATATTTATTAAGACATTAATACAATACTCAGTCATAATTAATACCCATCTTTAGGGCATGAAACAGTAAAACTTAAGTAATGATTAAAATGTTTCCCCTTTCTGATAAAATAAAGTTTGATTTTTGAATGTTTCGTAGATCCTTAAGTTAAATTCACCACCTGGGGAATAGTTACATCTGACCTGTGTTAAAATGTACTTCATAGATCAGTATGTGAGCATTTTCTACATAGCCTGTATAATTATATTTGTCCATATAATAGTATGTGAGGACCAGTTTTCTTAAAACGACAATATAGTTAGAACATTTTTGCCCTGTGGATGTTTTTGCAGGTCTTAACTAAATTATTCCCTTAAAATTAATTTTAAAGTTCAACACTTAATTCCAGGATTAGGCTCAAAACTATGGTATTTGGTATGATATGTTATTTGCATACATGACATAATATGTCCTTTCTTTCTTCCACAGCTAAGAGGTTCACAGGAATCCCTATGTGTGCTCTACTAGCCAACAAACGCTATGAGCTGCTCTATAACTGTGGGATACAACTGCTACACATCGGCCGGCCTCTGGCAGCCTTTGAGTGTCTGATGGAGGCGGTGCAGGTTTACCACTCCAACCCTCGGTTGTGGTTACGGCTTGCTGAGTGCTGCATTGCAGCCAACAAAGGGGTAGGCGTTCCTCATCACACAAATAACTCAAAAACTGAAAAAAAATCCTAAATTCCTGTCCTGGAGAAACTTAAACCCTAATTCTACACAATCCTTCTTTAACGGTTTTAATTTCACTGCTGCTGCTTTACTTGCTGATATATTCAAATATGTGTTATAAGTGTGTAGCAGAGAGGTATACAATATTATTTGATACATATTGTAATCATAACAATTGGACTTTCAAACATTGTTAAACCAACTAAAGATATTTAATGATTTTTTTTTTCAGGGCTCGGAGCAGGAGAATAAAGGGTTGCCTTGTAAAAAAGGTATAGTCCAGTCTGTGGTTGGGCAGGGTTATCATCGCAAGATTGTTCTGGCATCTCAGTCCACCCAGAATACCATCTACAGGTCAGTTAGCCGTAGTTCTGATACTTGTATTTGTCTGTTCGTCCAAATTTAAGTAATATCCTGCTAAATGTTTGTTTGTGTTTGCCCAGTGAGGGCCAGTCAGCAGCAATCCCAGTGGCCAGCATGGAGTTCGCAGCCATTTGCCTGAGAAACGCCCTGCTACTGCTGCCTGAACATCAGCAGCAGGACGCCAAGACAGAGAATGGCTCCAAGAGCTTTAGTCAGTCGGGAAGTACGGAGAGCGGCAGTGAGAACAGTGACGCCTGCAGGTCAGATACCGTCACAACATAGACATTACTTTGCTTTCAGCAACACATTTGGTACAAATGTTCACTTTCAAATTCCCTGTTGTATTTAAAAAAAATACATGATATTGTTATGTCCACATTTTCCCACAAGGTAGTGCACATCAGACAGAATTTTCTTTTTCTGTCATGTGCATTGAACCCTTTTGTAATAATAAGTAGAACCTATGAGATTTTGCAATTATAATCTTATTTTTCCATATTTTAAATCTACTTACAACTCACCAGAAAAATCCATATTTTCTTCCTTCATGGAGACTTTCTGTTGATGAATACAGCCCCTTCTGTTAGTTTTGTTTTTGTTATGATTCCTGATTTTATGTTTTTCTGCAGTGGGAAAGGTCAAGATGCTGATAAATTCTTATCTGCAGCTCCATCATCTCCTCTTAGAAAACAGGAGGTAGAAAATCTTAGGTAACTAAGAATCTTTGGTCAGACAACAGTAATAATAAATAGGGCATAACACATTTTTAAACCAATGAGTAATGACACCTGTTCATTTATAGGTGTTCAATCTTGGCCTGTAGTGCATATGTCGCTTTGGCTTTGGGAGACAACTTGATGGCTTTGAATCATGCTGAAAAACTTCTCCATCAACCTAAGGTGTCTGGATCTCTGAAGTAAGTGCTGGACCCATTTGTAAAAGTGTCTTTACAACATAGAAGAGAAAACTTAAAGGTAGGACTGGGCACCTTAATATACTAATCGGTTTACTGAATTGTTACATTTACATTCATACATTTAGCAGATGTTTTTATCCAATGCGATTTACAAGAAGAGGATTAACAATCAAGCATGTGGTTCCTCTGGGAATCGAACCCAGGACTCTGTGCTCTTTGTCAAGAAAAAACTGACAGACAGACAAAACTTATTTGTAGCCACTCTCATCACTGAGTGTTACTTTGCAGTTTAACCCTCATTTTTTTAAGCATTAAAATGCCCAAGGTTTTGCTATGGTATATTTCTGGTATTACTGTCATGATTATTGTTATTATTTCTAAATATTACAAACCATTGTCTTCCCTTTGCCCTGCTGTGTGTTCAGGTTCCTGGGTCACCTGTATGCTGCTGAAGCCCTCATCTCATTGGACAGGATCTCTGACGCCATTACGCATCTCAACCCGGAGAATGTCAGTGACGTGTCAGTGGGAGTGCAGAGCAGTGAACAGGACCAAGGTCTGTGTCAATGTCACTCCTCACGCCATAAAAGATCCAATATGGGCTCGTTAGAAACAACAGTTAGTTAACAATGTTCAATATTTTTAGTGATCAGTCAGAACTACAGCAGGGAAGAGTTGGAATATGTTTTTCTAACCACCATGTTAAAAAATGTGAGGATCATATTAATAAATCTCAGAGCTGTTGGTGTATTTTTTTTATCCTCACAACATCCAGCCAGGGCATTATCATCATTATCACTAATGTGTCCCAACCTCAGTCTCAGCCTTGTTGAAATGTTCACTGAATTTCTTTTACACTAAAAGAAGTGTTCTCAAAGAGTCCACCAGATCTTCACCTACATGTGTTGTAAGGGGTTTGGGAAAGCCTGGTAAACCTGAATCTGGCCTAATGATTGTCATTGTTAACAGGTTTGGACAAAGGTGATGAACCTGTGGAGTCATGTAAGTCTGAATGTTTTCACACCAACTATCTGAAATGATTATTTTTAAAGCACCAAAAGTGTATTATTTATGTAAAAAAAAGCACACCAAGTGTCCAATAGTTTAGAGACGTTGCAATGATTGTTCCAATGGTTTTCCTTCTCCGTGTGTGTGTGTGTGTGCAGCAGGGAAGCAGACTCCTCTGTGTTACCCCAGCAGTGTGTCATCAGCTCGGGCCATGATGCTCTTTAACCTGGGCAGTGCCTACTGTTTAAGAAGTGAATATGAAAAGGCTCGAAAGTGTCTACACCAGGTAATCAGTGTTACAGCAGTCAGCATCACATCCTGCTACCATTGAAAGCTCATGTCACTGTGGTTTGTGTTGTTTCTTAGGCTGCATCAATGGTGAACAACAAAGAAATTCCGCCTGAAGCTATCTTATTAGGAGTCTACTTAGAACTTCAGAATGGTCAGAACTCCATCAAATACTGTCATACTGTCATATTTTTGTTCACAACCAAAATAAAGACATTTGTCTACTTGTGATCTGTTTCCAGGCAACACTCAGCTGGCTCTGCAGATCATCAAACGCAATCAACTCCTGCCCACAACAGTCCAGAGGATGTCGCCAGACTCTCGCAAAAAACCTGTCCAACCCTTCCAGCTGTCATCAACTTTCACACAAGTCCAGCGCAAGTGAACCTCCTCCACCACCACTTCTTCTGAGCCCCATCCCCACTGCACACACACAGCCCTGAGGAGCCATGATATTTATGAAGCTGCTTCTCCTCAGCATCCGGAGCTGTATGAAATGAAAAAAGGCAGTCGAGTGATGACTGAGAAGCTTCTATTGCAGCAGTATCCATGAACTGTGACCAGCTGACTTTTTATTTCCATTAGAACAGGGATTCTGTGTTGTCTAAGCAAATAAATTTTATTTACTTTACTAAATCTTATGTGATTTTTTTTTTATATACTCGTGTTTAAAAAGTTGTTAATAATTCTTTGACATCAAACAAGTAGCTTTTTCCCTTAGCAACCTATTGGAACCAGAAGACTTTTTTTTTTAATTGTCCAAAAACTACTTTATCTTTTGTAAAAATACATTTTAATTCTAGGAAGTAAACAAGGACAACTACAATTCTGTCAAAAGTGAACCTTAGTTTAGAGATTGTGTGTTTAAGGATGAAACCCTGGCTTATCAATGAGCAGTCCTTGGACACCGTGGTCCTCGTGGCTGACCCCTTGTATTGTTTGACCTCCATGATTCCTTTGATGTTGTTAGGTCAGCACTTGGGACTGATAAGTCATACAGCAGTCATTAACCCCACAATCTTGTAAAATGGTGGAAAAGAGGAGCAGACACAGGAGGTGATGCACCGATGTGGATCAACTGCAAATGTATTGTGTGGATTTCCCACTATATTAATATAGCCCAGTACTTCTGAAATAGTGGAGCGGGCCCTCTGGGGGTTGTGATGAGGTACCAGGTGGGGCGTGAGGGGCTTCCAACGTAATATGTGTATGTGTAACATAAGTGTACCACTGCTGTATTGCTAAATCACACGTGTCAAACTCAGGCCCAGGGGCCAAATGTGGCCCATAGTGTTATTATATTTGGCCTGCAAGATCATATCTCTGTGCAGAGATCATAATTCTAGTACAAATGTGCACTAGAGTTGGCCTGCTAGTATATACAGTAGCTCTGATATACTGGCAAGATTAGTAGTATTAGCAGTGTATGCGCTAGGTTATAGCACATACATTTTGGGTTTTTGTTTTTTTTTGTTGTTGGCCTGTGAAAAAATATTTACATCAAAAAGGAACTTGAAAGGCTACAGACAAAGAGACATAATAAGAAACAAATACCACTGATGTGTGTTGTATTTTAAATTTAATTTCATATGTGTTTATAATATTAAGCTTTGATTCAATGTTTGCGCGAAACTTCCACATCAAACCCGTGAAAGCATGTGGCAGTAAGTAGAGTATCTGTGCTTTCACCTGTGTTTCCCAAATGTTATGTTTATTGTTTGGTTAAAACCTTCTATAATAGGGTTTACCTTACGGCCTAATAGTGTGCAGTGACTGTATGTATCTACCCATTAACAAACTAATGAGCCTGGACTGTCACCTGGTTGATTGTAGATGTCGTGCAGGACGCTTGTGATTGGATAACGAGGCGCAGCCGTGCCCTTTAAAAGCGGAAGGAAGTGGTAGTCTTTTCCGGAGCCGTGAAGGTTGTAAGATGGCGCTGTATCAAGGCACGGTGAAAAGGTTTGCAATTATTACGACATAAGTATTGCCATCTCTGGTTTTCTTCACTTTGACGATTAACCCGTCATGTGAAAGACCAGTTTTCCGCAGAGCGTGCAGACGGTTTGTTTTTAACCGCCTTCACGCTGCTGGGCAGCTGGTTAGCGTGCTAAACAGTACCGTGTTTGAGCTGCACGGTTTGCACATTCAAACTAATTCTTACTGCATGTATCGCTTCAGTCAGCGTGTTATTGAATTGTACGAGATAGGGCTTTGTTATTTGGCCTCTAAATATCTGCACGAAGACCGCTTGGTCTTCAAAAAGTTCAATAAATAAGAATTTCTAAAAATATTCTCTAATGCCCTAATTTGATGAGAAGCATGTAGGAAAAGATAGAACTTTAAAAAATAATTTTACAAAAATTATACACATTTATACATGTATACTTTTTTTTTTCTCATGCAATTACCACTGTAACTTTTCATCTCTATTGGCAGGCTGAACATCTCTTTGGATAAGTTTCATGAACCCCAGGAAAAGGAAAAGTGTCAGTCCAAGGGAACAGCACAGTGGATGAGAGGCGAAACATCTTCAACTTACTTGAGGTGAGTCCAGCTGCCTACTTTAAAACTGCTTTTGAGGTTATTATGACGACATGGACGACTGAGAATATCCACAAATATATCAGGAGAAATTTTTTTCTGTTAATTTTGTTACTTTGCACTAAAAAAGAATTGCTAAATAATTTGTCCATATCTCAAAAAATATGGGTCTAGCTAAATTCAGGTTTGTTTCACACACACACACACACACACAAAGGCTAAAAGAATGTGTCCCTTGCTCATTATATTTGTAACTCTAGATGTAATGTACATCAAAAAGCATCAATAATACATATAATTATATAATAATTTACTCACCAAAACTTCTGATTAAAAAATAATCTCTTTCCTCAAGATCAGTTCAGTTACTCATTTGTTCAGATTATCCGTGCGTTGCTTTGCTGACCTGACGGTACACCACTGAATGTTCCATATCACTGATGTTACTGAGCTGATGTTGAAAGGCATATATCAATGATCTCTGCATTTGCTTTACATTGGTAACAGCCAGGTTTAATTTTCAAGGAAATGACACAGAACAGTAGGACATGTTGGAGTGGCCTGAACTAAATGTTTTGTTAACAAAACAATGACTCAATTATCTCAGTGAACGTTGCACAACAGCAATAATACTTGGACAAACCAATTTGTTAAAAAAAAAAAAATTTAACAGCTTCAGTACGATTGCACTCTCTTAAACGTGATTCTGAAGTGCCTTTGATTGGACAAGCCCACATTAATTGTCCTACAGGAAATGTCAACATTCCCGCTGAGGGCTGACCAATGGACCACGACCTTCTGACATACAAAACGACCCAGTTTGATGCAGATTTGGTGTCTGAGCAGCACCCAGTACAACAAAAACAATGTCAGCTCTTCCAGTGCCAGGGGACACACAGGTCACCGTCCTGCAAGACAGAGTAGAAGTGGGAGACGCAGATGTGGAGACCCTGCATGAGAGGTGAGCGCTGCTCCAGCAGCCTTTTACAGCACGTGATCATCTGACTGGAGCTGACGCTGGGATCCTTGCGCAGACTCTTCAGGGACAGACTGTGGACACACTGCTTCAACAGAGCCTCCTCCTCCTCCTGCAGCCTGGACAGGTAATACATGGAGGTCAACAACAACAAAGCTGGAACAACTTTGACATCAAAGCCAGGGATATAAAGTCATCAAGTCACTCTTTGACCTACAAGATCTTGCGCTGGTTGCGCTGCCTTGCTTCAGCCGCATGGCTCTGGAGGAAAACTTGCAGCTTATGTGGGTCACATTTGGTGGGGATTATAAAGTGTCCCATTTCATGAAGACTAGGATTTGAGCGATCACTGTGAACGACACAAGCAGAAGGTCAGGAACGAGGCCGGAAATGGAAAGACGTGTTTTCACAATGTGAACCCTCACTTTTCCAGTGACGTGGTGAGACCCTGAAGGCTCCTTGGGTGCAGGCGAAGATGTTGGGACATCAGGCTCTTATGAAACGTACTCAGGGTGCTGTAGTGTTCTGCAATGGGCTGAACCAGACCCAGTGTCTCAACATGGCCCACCTGGGCACCACCCAGGAGGAAGCTGATCCTGTCCTTCAGCAAATCCGTCTGCTGCTGCAGGCTGCGATAGCTGGGGAGCTGCCGAAAGAGCTGCAAGTACGATGAAGGGAAGATATCAAACAGCATACTTCTCAAGGTTCTCACACAGTCCTGGTAGCTAAATGCATATATTAGGCTGCATCCAGGACGTTTCACCTCTTATCCAAGAGGCTTCTTCACTTCTAACTGGTGGAGGGGAGTACAGCAAATATATACTATGGGTGGGACAAAGAATAAAGCTACTTCAGCTCCCCCTGTCTGGTGGGCCGTTGGGGTCAACTGGGGAAGTGTCGTTGTAATCCTCATCAGAATGGTTCCGGTCACATGAGGGACCTGAAGTATGTTTATTTTTTGTCACACCCACAGTATACTGTATATTTGCTGTACTCCCCTCCACCAGTTAGAGCTGAAGAAGCCTCTTGGATGAGAGGTGAAATGTCACCTTTCACGAAAATTTCACGTCCAGTTGCCTAACAGAACTCTTCCCCTTTGACCTGAATGACTGAGAATCTTCATAGTCATGTTATCCAAAACATTATAATATCAATAAACACTTTCAATTCAATGCCTCTTAATCAGCAGCTGCTTGTGCCTAAACTCTTACCTTCCAGGTTTTAGTTTCTCTCTATAATATTGTAAAACAGTTTTTTTTTATATAAAGCGAATAGAACTAAAACATAGAGCTGCATTACTTTGGTCCACTGATGATGAACATCTGTAGTTCCTAGTAGGACGTGTCCAGAAGCGTTCATCCCTGACAGGTCAGCAAACACCACAGTGTGGCCTGCAGAGAGAGTGAAGCTTAAAGAAGTGTCCACAGATTGTTGTGTATTACAGTGGTCCCTCTCCTATCATATATATTTTTTTAGGTTAGAAAATATTTGTTTTTAACAAAAAGATAATGAAAATATTGGAAATTAAAAAAACATATTTACCATAAAATACTGCGATACAGCAAAACTCTTGTGTGATTAGAATAAAAATCTGAGATGTACTGAGTGAGTGAAAGAAGAACCGCGATATAGAGAGGGAACACTGTATTAAAAGCAGCAGAAGGAGAGGAACTGGTCCACTCCCTACCTTGCAGAGTGTTGAGGGCCTCAGGGTTCTGCTGGGACAGACGACTCAGACTCTGCAGCTGGGAGCACCTGTGGGCCACGCCCCAGCTGCGCTGCCACCTGCGCACATACATGTCACCAGGCTGTGATTTACCACTGAGATAACCAGAAGTTTAAAAGTTTGGTGCTTTTTAACCACTGGCACTACTGTTAATATACATTGTAATCACATCTCGAGTGAGACTAGTCTCCTGTGTTAGGTCCTAACAACCTCACAGCTAAGTTGTCACTTGAATCCTTAGCCAATCACAGAGCAGTTCCAAGACTGCGGGGAATTCCACAGATTTGACATTGAACTATTGCAAACGTGTCTATGTAGCTTCTCAGTCATCCACAGAACACACAGTTACCCACCTGATGTCGACCAGGTCAAACTTGTGACACAGCTCCTTGGTCAGTCTCTTCAGCTCTTCTCTCCGAGGAAGACTAGCGATGTGCTTCTTCGTGGCCTCAGGCTCGATTTTTCTTAACCACAGGCTGAGACAAAGGAAATTAAACGAGGGCAACTGGACGGAGTAGGTTTCACCTCTCATCCAAGAGGCTTCCTCAGAACTGAACTAAAGAAGCCTCTTGGTGAAAACATCTTCAAGAAACCAGAGTGTGAAGGAGGCATCTTGGGGTCTTAAATTAGGGTCAACTTTCACCAAACAGTTTGTATACCACATCAGCTGTAACTAACCTGAGTGTAGGCTCCACTCTCCTGGCCTGTTCCAGCTCCTGTTCAGGGTCCCTGAAGCCAGTGAAGGTGTAGTAGCTCTTGTCCCATTTGATAGGTCTGTAGAAAGGCACTTCTCCCCCAGGTGGACTCTGGGAGACTGCTGTGCTTCCTTTCAGTCCCTTCATGTGCTCCACAGACAGACTGCACGACTTTAATACGTTCATCACCGTGCTCAAGACGTCACTGGTGTGCAAGGTGATACTCACAGACCGAAATCCTGAAAACCACAGGGAGTTTTAGATATTAGACCAACCAAAGAAAGGTAGAATTAATTTCCATAATGTTGGTACCTGTACCTGGGGTGAGCTCCGTCTGCACGTCACTGCCGTCCTTTGTGTCCCGGACGTAAAAGGTGAGCTTCACTGGCTTAACCGAGTGTAAGCCAGGTTTCTGCAGATTCTCTAAGTAGCCATTCAGTCTTTTTAAAGAGTTTTCATTCACTTCCTGTAAAAAGCAGTGAAATTAAAGTGTAAAACTTCCATTAGGCATTAAAAAGTGTTAAAAGACATTTATAATAAGAAAACACGTCTTTCACATCCATCCAAGTTAGATAGATATATGGATAGATAAATAGATACTTTATTGATCCCAAAGGGAAATTAAGGACAATCATGGCCTCACGTCTTTTTATTAGTGAATTTGACAATTAAGAAGAAACATGAATGACAATAATAATCTGTGTTATACAGTGCTAAACATAAGTATTCAGCCTCTTGGATGTTTTATACTTTTATCAATGATGGTCAATAAAATGTGTTTTTTTTCACACAAAAATTTATTGGAAAAAACTCTTTAATGTCAAAGTGAAAACAGAGTTTTATAAAGTAGTGTTAATGAAAAAAAATTATATAAAGAAAAATAATTGTTTGCGTATATTACCCGTTCCCTGGGATGTTGACCAAAGAAGTCTGGGTGGACGGCAAAATAAAACGGTCTTAGTGCGTTGACGGCCTCAGCTCCTGACAGAGCTCTCTGTTGGAAAAGACACGGGGCCACATTTGTCCTCTTTAACCTGCAGGGAAACAACAACGGATAGAGACATATTTTACTTTGTGTTTATTTGTTGTTGTGATGTTATTACTGTTATTACTGTTTTTTCTTTGTGAAGAAAAATAAGTGTTTTTTCTAAACTGGCAGCAGAATGTATTTTCTTTAAAGCAGAGTTATTTACAGCATGATGTTTATCACATGTAGAGTGAAGTAGCCCAGGACAGTGTTACCCGAGTGTCCACCGCAGGAGCCACTTCACAGACATTGTTGAAGCTGCTTGTCGACAGATGTGCTGGAACCCATGGCTTCACCTCTGCTAATCCTCCATTCCTCAGATAAAACAACAGACCATCACTACAGACATCATGGACTCAACACCACAGTGAGTTTTCTTTTTAATCTTGTAGGGCAGTGATTCCAGATCTTTTTTGGTCTAAACACATCATTAACTGATTTCAAATAATGTTTTCATTCATCTATGAGACAATGAAATACTTTTCCAAATGGCTATAAGACGGAAAATAATACAGAAACTATTAGCCATGGCTTAAAAAATATGGGGGACACTGGTCACCAAACAACTATGGCTATAGCACACCCTGGAGGGCAGAGGGGAGGTTTTACGTTTGTAAAGAATTACATGTTGCACCGTCTTCCTTTAAGTAACATACTGTATGTCTGGAACCAATACTCTGCTGTATGTGTCTTTACGTAACACAAAACAGGACATAACATCATTGTTCCTAAAGAACGTCGTGAGTGCCATGTTGGTTGTCTTTCTGGCATAAACATTGTTTAGTGCGTTTAATAAGGACCTAAAATGTTAAGTTCGAAATGACAACACTCTCTGACCTTCCTGTAGTGGTCAGTCAGTCTGTGCATGACCTGTAAATCTCTAAAGACACAAAACAACACCATAACATTTAGCCGTCAAGATCACAGTTAATGACGTCTAACAGTGAAGCTAACGCCCCTCGGAGATGTTCTGTTCAACTACAGTTGTTGTTTTTCATACAAACACCTACTCAAACTACTCGTTGATAACAACTTTTAGTTCACCTTGACTCCGAATTACACTGCAGCAGCTGCTTCTGGTCACGTTCGGAGAGCTTTTCTATCCTAATGTTTACCTTTTACCGACCGAATGGCTGCTCTTGTCGCCCTCTGTTGGACCGGAGGCCCAACTACAAAACATACATTATACATCTGATTGATGTATAATGGGCTGTTTTAAGTGCTTGATACACTTGATGGTATATATTTATGTTCCATACTCAAGTTGAACTAAAAAAATATGAATAATACATTTAAAAAAATAAAAAAGATAAAGTATAAAAGGAGTCAAAATTACTGATTTACTCTAAAGTTATACATCACCTGCAGTAATCCTGTCTAATTTGTAGGACTTCAATATCTCAAGAAAAACACAGTCAAATATATTTTAATGTGGGATTGTAAACTTTATTTATTTGAATGGTCAGATCTGTTTGATTTGATAAAACACTTCTGTGTTAACCTGAGTGTCACTAAAAACAATTGAAGACAAAGTGCTCACAATATTCAAATATAATAAACATCCTTATTTTCTTTGCCTAATTTGCAACAAATTGTCCGTTGTCCTTTGCTGCTGAACTTGAGTCGGTGCTCGAATAAGATGTAGAGGCAGTGACATGCTGCCTGAGATAAGAGTTGTTTTTTGAAAAAATGCAAAAATGTCTGTTTTAAACACAAAGCTTTTTTCATATTTTTTTAGGTTAAATAGAGCACAACTGATGTAAAACAAAGATCAGATCAGAGTATTTTTACATGCTAAAATGTCATTACACTGTGAAAGCAACTAGATCAGTGTTAAACTAAATCTTCTGTTTTTGTCTCCCAATGTGAGGACTCAGAGACCTCAAAGAAGAGTGCTTTGCGTTTAAAATGGACATTTTCCCAATAAACAATGTCACAGATCCAGAATGTATGCTCCAATTCAAAGTAATGGTCATAACAACCAAAAGTGTGTGCCCTCTCATTAAACACAAAATAAAAGATTACTAAGCAAAGAGGTTTTGTTGACTGATAATGCAACTGCAAATAGAGGACCCTCCATGCTCCTCCAGTGAAACCCAAGTATTGTGTGTGTAGTTCAAGATTATTTAGCTTACACAGTACATAAGACTTGTTGGTATAAAAGTCAATACACGACTATACACCATAAACATAATCTGTCACAAAAGGAAAAACATATTAAACAAAACATTTTCTAGATTTTGAATGTAATTATAAAAGGTATCCAGACGTTTGAATTTGCACCACTAAGCAAACATTACTGCCTGTGCATCACTGTCCTCAGCTACTGTAGGTAGATTGTGGCACGATCACATCATGTGACATTCGATGGACGGTTGTATGGCTGTAAACGTTGCAGTTCCAGTTGCGCAAAAACTGATAACAAATGACAGAACAACAGGGGGTGCACACAGAAACGTTAGTGTCAGTGCCCTATTAAAACAAATACAGAAACGGGATGAGTACCATATGATGGAGACTTAAACCCTGGACTGTTAGTTGGTAGACGATCAAACCTGTAGTATTAGGAACTCTCATGATCATCTGGTGTAGAACAAAGTCCCCATTAGATCAACATGAATTAGTAATAAAAATAAAACAGATAAAGAAGTATCTTTCCTCTAGTGATGTGGCATTAGTTTGATTTCTGTGCCCAGTAAACGCTGCTGGTTAAATTAAATTTTAAAAATGGACGAGGTTGCAGTGTTAAACCTCCACACTGCTGAGTATTTCCAAACTTAATTCACATTAGTTTACATGTCGTGTCTCTCTGCGTAGCAGGGTCACAAGATACAGTATGTAAATTAACAATACGCGCCAGCTGTGCACATGGAGTGAGTACATTATTTACGCAAAGGCCGACTGAGTTTGGGAGGAAGCACAACTGACACTCAGCAGTTGAAAAGCTACACAGCTGTAAAATGTTAATGAATAGCTGAAAACATGAAAAAAGTGGCATCAAAAATTAAACTGATTCAACTACAAAAAAAAGTTTAGCAGTCCTTCTGCGCTTCAATTTTGCACAAAATTAAACACACTCCCAGTCTTATCTGATGGAGCGCCTGATATAAAAGAAAAAGGCAAAATGATTCATTCAACTCAACAGTGGAAGAAACATGAAATATTAGGCACTGCAGCTTTAGAAACATTCTGTGTTGTTGCTGGTCCTGAGATGATTCCCTTTAATAAAAAAAAAACAAATAAAGCTTGATAGGAAATTTAAAAACAATTATATTTGAGCCACAGTTGTTAAAAAAAGATGATTACATAACAAGTAAAAACACGCTTCTGTACGATATATATTTTTACTATTTAAATAGTGTGAAAATGACAGATGTTGTTACTGAATATGAGTCCTTAAGGAGAAAATGTAATGCACAAAAAAAGACAAAAACTGAAATGTTCAATTTACCGGAGTGTTCGTGGTTATACTGATCTGAAACATATCTGGCAATTTGTCATCAACCTTTTGAGGAAACAACACATGAACCTCCAATTTTTGAAATTCTAGAATTATGGGGAAGATTTGATGGATGTGTGTGTAAACCTGCAGTAATGTGTAGTTTTAGCAGGACAGAATAAGCTTTACAAATTTGGAACATCTGTTCACACCTGAACAACAAGTCGTTCATGTATGACAGGAAGTGAGAGACAGACGGAAGTTTTTTTAGTTTCTGGCTTCTAATTGAAGTGGACACCTGAAATTTGCACGTTGGGATAAACACATTACATGTGTTCTGTTGCCCCCTGTGGGATACACTAGGTAATTACATGTGCTCCGGGTGGCTCTGCAGGCAGGAGATCATCTCATTGATTGGCCTGCCCTCGAAACAGATCTGATAGACGGCAGTGAAGAGTGGGAACCTGGAGAGAAAGTGTACGGAGTGAGAGAGAATTCCAAACCGACTGTATATTACTTTAGTGGTCCCACTAAGACAGATGTCAGTGTGTTTACATACTTGTCCACCAAGTTCTTCTGTTTGAGGATGCGATGCACCTCAGCTGAGGTGGCAGGACCCTGGAGCTTCTGACCATTCAGCATCTCATTCTCCAGCTCCTCGATGCTCTGACAACAGGTCATACCAATGACAACACTGTCATCCTCAATGGTTTTGATTGAGGAAAAAAGCAAAAAGCAAACCTCCGCCCATGCTTCAGTGGCACGTTCATCTAGTAATGACTTACAGTTGTGAATGTTTCTTGATAAAATAAACAAAACATTCTTGGATTACAGTTTGGTTACGATCAGATGAGTGACAGACCCAGCAGGTGAAACTTGTTTGAAGGAAGCCAAGCTTAGCAAAAACATTTGAAAAGTATGATAACTACATAAATGTAACTAAAATTGTAGAAATCGATGAAAATACCTCATGTCTTCCTAGCTTAGAAATAGTTATTGCGACAACAACCTACCTTTCCTGTTTTGACAAAAGCCTCTGCCACTCGTCGATTGCGGCCTCCATAGCAGGTAGTGATGAGGTCAGCCAAGCCACAGCTCTCCAGGAAGGTTGCAGTTTGAACAGAGTTGTCCTTGGAGAAGAGTTTGGCAAATGCTATCATTTCCATCAAGCCCAGACGGATCACAGCTGCTTTGGTGTTGTCGCCGCACTGCAGCCCGTCACAGAACCCAGCTCCTACAGCGACGATGTTCTATAGTAACGGAAGAGACGCTTTCAGTCACAGCCAGGACGGTTTACTTCACCAGTGTCACCAAAACCTAGGTTTGTGTGTATGCACTGTACCTTTAGAGCTCCACACAGCTCCACCGTATCAGCATCATCCACCACTGTGATCCTGAAGTTAGGAGTCTGGAGCAGGTCCTTGAACAGAAGGCCATTCTCCAGGATCTTACTTCCTAAACCGACACAAAAAAGGCACAAATTAAGCAGAATAAACAATGTGAAGATTACTGGAAAGCTGGTAACACTTCACTAAGGCATAAGTGATTCCTGACCACAGTGGTAAGGCACATTAGTGTAATATGAGAGGATATCAGGTGTGTTGTGTAAAATTATCCAATTTCACTTAATTAGTCTAAAAACTTTTTATTTACTGCGAAAAATGTCTGTGCGACAATGACAGGCAGAACAATAATTCTAGTAGGTGGCAGCAGTTAGTATAAACCTAAAAATAGAAACTCTTTCTTCAATTACTGCGAGTCTATCAGCATGGTGTTCACCTAAACAGGCCCAAGTTTAACATGGAGTAAGTAAATTGTGTGTAAATTGAAACAAGAACATCGTTACATTTCATCATTTTGTGACATTTAGGTCTGGTGGTATGTTTTGTGGTTTGCAGAAAAGTTTGGGAAACATTGGATTAAGGTGTTAATTTATTATTTAAACTTAACTATTATCATGAATTAAAACTCTGCATCGTTAATCACACTTATATATCCAGGCAAATCCTCCTCACCAATAGTGGTTTCACAAAACTTCTCAGCGGCCACTTCGTTGGCAATGTTTGCTCCCATGAGAACGCTCATGTCAATGCCCATTCTTTCTCGAATGATGTCAGAGATGAGCTTTAGACCCTCCGGACCCTCGTCTACACCCTGATAATGACACAGATATGGGAAAAGATGTGATTCAAAGATTAAGATACGTGACGATGAAAAACAGAGCGAGGTGTGGAGGAAAGCCACTGAGGGTCACATTGGTGTGAAATTGTTGACTATTCACTGAATACTGTATATTTTCTTTACCACAGCATCATATTCTAGAGTTCTCTCTTCATCCGAGTACTTGGACAGAATGCAACAGCTGTGGCCTAGTTAGCTGCTCATTTACTATTCTGAGTGAAACACAGCCTGAGTGTCTGTCAGTCACAGCCACAGTCCAGCAGCTCAGAGCTGAGATTACTTAGATTCTTTCCTCACCCCATAATGAACTATGAACATTTTTAATCAGCCTTTTAACTGCAGAGAGTTGTGGATTTATTTTGCCCATCAGACACACACACACACACACACACACACCAACGGAGGCTTCTGTCTCAATCATCTGGACCACAGTGTAAAATGTTGATAACAGTCCAGCATGGTGCAGTCAGAGATTATTTAAATGTTTCATAAAAAGGCAGATGGCAGCAGCTTTTGATAAAAAGCAAGAAAAATTACCACTATTTGTATAGTCGCTTGTACACATTACTCATTGTGAAGTAAACCCTGATTCAGGTCGCAAGATGAAGATATTCTTCTTTGTTGTTTCATAAATGACAACATTGCAGCACTTTGATTTGCAAATATTAGGGAAATCAAACTTGGCACACACAGGAACTCTACTCTACCTAACCAAATTAGTGTGGCACATCAACACAAATTCTCATTTATGTACAGGAGCAGTAACAGAGCTCGGCCTTGGCCAGCTTCAGTGGGTGTGTTACACTGAGAGGAAAACAATTCTGGGACAAGCCTGAGCAGAGAGCAGTGTAGACACAGTCTGCGTGAATTGTTAATTACTCTTTCCAACCATCCAGGGAAAATCACTGACCTGAAATCTGTCATAAGAGAAAGGCAGAGACTCTACAGATAGATCAGTAACAATGCCTCTGCCATTAAACTCATTTAGAACTGTGAAGTCATAATGCACCTTAATCTAAAAAATACAGATCGGCGTATATCTAGTTTACACAAATAAATCTAGAGTTATATTAACTAAAAATAAAAAATGTAAAAGAGTATTTATAAAGTTAAAAGATGATACTTTTTTTCCAATTCCCAGTGATTATAACACTAAAGTTGTAAAAATCACCAGAATAGTCTGGTCTGAACTCACTTCCTGGATGTTCTATCAACGTGGCTCTGAGGAGGCACTTCTTGCGTAAGATAAGTTTTGCCACAGACAAATAACACTAAAAATAGACATTTGTACAAATAAAGACCTTAGGGCAGCATTCCAGAGTGTGAAGAAGAACAGTTGTATATATTAAATGGACAGTCAGTCTGGGGGTTCACACTGGTCAGTAAAATGAGTGTGGTAGCGAATTATTACCTTGATGAGTGAGATTCCTCTAGCTTTGTTCGAGACACAGCCCACCATCTCATCACAGAGTTTTCTGATGAACTGGTGAGGGACCACGAACACCAGCAGGTCTGCTCCCTCTGCAGCATCACGCAGCTTTGGAATGGCCACCTGTACAAAACACATCGATAGAACAATCATTTGTACCTCATTTAAAAAGTCTTCCGCTTCAAAACCCTGTAGACCGAACTCCTCTCTCTTACCACATTCTCTGGCAGTTTATATCCAGGCAGGTACTTGACGTTTTCGTGTTCAGTGTTGATAATGTCAGTGAGATTTCTGCCATCAATGTTTTCTTCGTACACCCACATGTTCACTGTAGTGGCAAACCGCTGGATAGACTTGACATTATTTCCGATGATTCTGGCAATGGCTGAGCCCCTGTGATTAGAACAGACGACCGTCCAGCTTTAGTCAAGTTACATGTCAGAGATTTATAACTTCATTCAATGTCAGCTTTTAATGATGAATGTGTCAGTTTTAGACCCATTATCCTACTTTGTGGTAAACAGATGATTAGTTATCCTACTTTGTGGTAAACAGATGATAAATAATGGACTAGTATTTGATTAGTTTTTTTACTCGTTATTTCAGAACGTGTTGTTTTAATCTTTGTCTAAATTAAAATAATACGTGCATGCAATATTTCTAAACATTGCCCCAGTAGTTTCATATGTGATTGTCTTATGTGTACACTGCCATTTACATATGGATCTGATTAACTGATAAAAACAGAACCGGAAAAAGAGACAGAAAACAAGGGGAAAACAGGGATCCTGTTGATATCGACAACGTAGCCCAAGTCTGCTAGTAACTTGATGTCTTACCAGTTCCCAGAGCCAACAATGCAAACTTTTAGAGGAGACGCCATTTACGATGCTTCGCCTCGGGCTTTTTTTCTTCTTCAGAAACCCCTCTGCTCAGAGAAGAATGCAGAGTACACTGAAACGGAGTTCCTGCTTGGCGTGAATCGGAACCACGCATGCGCAGTTGTAGTCGCCATCTACGTACCCCTCGGTACGGCAACTCTATGTAGACAAAAAGAATGCAAACGGTTTGCTTACAGCATTAGCACCCCCTGAACATTACATAACACATGACGTTTTTGGACTTATACGTTCTTAATGTAAAAAAAGAATTGCATTGTATCATTTGATTTATCCGCAATTTATGCAATGCTTGTTTAGATTCATGTCACGGAAGAATAGCATGACAAACATAAAACATTGTGAGTTTTGTGAAATAAAACTAACATTTTAAAGCCTTTCTACTCAAAATATGTTCTTCGAATGTACAGTGCAGATATGTGTCGTCTTTTCCGTAGAATGGTAGCATTTCGAACCTTGACTTACCATGGTTTGCTTTTAAAATAACTTTCAGATAAGCAGAACATCCTTGTCCTTATACGCTCAAACATTATGGGGGGAGATGGGGGTTTAAATCGCGTGCGCCATTCATGGGGAGTGGTGACGATCAACATGACGTCTACGTACCGAACTGCTACAAATGACAGTAACAAATTACTTAATACAACATAATCGAGAAACTCTCATACCAACTAGAACCGCTCCATTTTTTGCAAGTTTTTTGCTTAATGCTGATTTTGATACTCTGGAAAGAGAATTTCCCGTTCCTTCCATGCGGTGCTATAATCAAGGCAAAGACCACGCTTGAAGTAAAACAATAATTCGGTGCTATAATCAAGGCAAAGACCACGTACAGTACTCAAAGGATCTAGCTTTTCTACTTCTACTAATAAGTAAAGCAATACATATTATCAAGCATTTTTGGTTTCAGTTTGTTCTTTTATGTAATTACAGTGTGATGATCCGGTTGATTTCTGTCTAATTCCTGTTTTGAACTATTCAAGTGTCACGTATTCCGTTGTATTAGTTTACGTTTCAAAATGAAAAGAGTATGATGGTAAAGACCACCCTTGAAGTAAAACAATAATAATTTTAAGACTGCGAAGCGTTTGCTAATTCCAGTTACAGTAGTAAAACACATTTTTGAAGGGTAGTTTAAAATTGTTGCTGTTTTTAAAACAATGTAAGTGTTTTAACTGTAGTACAAAAATTCGTTGAGAGACCTACCTGAAAACATTCCCTGACAGACTCCACGATGGCGCAACACAGCATACACAGGAGAGTCGAGCTAAAACGTAGCTAGATTAGAATTTAATGTGATATTAAAACATGTTGCTCCTCTCTTATACCTGTAGGTGGTGCCATGTAGTTGGCACAGTTTAGATCCAGTGACGTGCGGTCAGGGGAGGCAGTGCCTCACCTGCCATCACGATAAAAAAGGAGAAAAAAGTACATAAAATAAATATTAATATTTTCCACTAATCTGTGTTAAAGATGCATTTTCAGTATGACTCTACACATTTTTGATATTTAATTATTTATTAAAGTAAAAATCGAATTCGAGTGTTTCGCATTCAAATACAGAGCAGAACCCCCGGGTGAGGCACCGACGAGCTGTGCTTCTCTTCTGACTGCTCTATCCAATCAAACTGGGTCACATGACGCGGGCCCGTTTCTGCTCCAGCCAATAAAGTGCAGAGAAAAGCCAGCGGGGAGGCAAATATTCCTCTGCTTCACCTCAAGGGGTCGCACGTGAACTGCCATTGTCCGTTGACGAATTAGGTGCGAGTAGGAGAAGAACAGCGTTTTCTGTGCTCTTCCTGATCCGACTCACTATGGATTGTATTTCAAGGCGGAAATGTTTCTCAAAACTGGACTTTTGGTCCAGACAGTAGATGATAAGTAATGGAAGACCAACGCTGGAGCTAAAAGGTTAGCTTCAAACTACGGGACAGAAGAGTCGTTCTTTTTAAATGGAGCGGTACAAACGAAAAGACTGGCTGTGTCATTACTGCTTTCCTTGTCTTTTAATTCTCATCGTGTGATAACGTCCGGACTACATCAGGATACTGTAATGTAATGTAAAACAATGTATTTAGAATACCTGCCACAATTATGGGTTAAATCATTCAACCCATAATTGTGGCAGGTATTATAATTACATTGTTTTAAACTAACAGCTACACCTTGTTTAATAAGTTGGAATAATCATTCCCATATTAAAATGTTTTTATTTTTAATTTGTTTTTAAGAAATTGTAACCACCCTTCCCAAAATTGGCTACATCATTATATAATGTTTTTTATATGATATCTGATGTGTTCTCTATTGTGGGGTAATACTGCATTATCGATTCCCTGTAGTCTACGGGGGAGTATCCCTGCCGTGGGGGAGTGACCAACCCGGGATTTCCAAAATAAAAAACGCAGTAACGTCACAGAGGAAGAGAGGGATGGAGAGTGAGAGAAAGGAGAGAGGAGACAGAGCACCGCAGTGGATTGGCTGGAAGATCCCTCTTGCGTGTCAACAGTGTGGGAGCAGGAGGAGGCTGGAGTAAAGCGAGCTCCCTGCATCACTTTGTCAAAACCTGCGGTCAGTCTTTGCGCCTGTGTGCAGAGTCTCCTCATCCTCACTTCTTCAGAGCAGTGGTACAGCAGCAGCATCAGCAACATGAACCGCTCCTCCTGGAGTCCCTGTAGAAGGCAGGAGCAGTCGCACAGCACGGATGCTGCTCAGCACGGTGCGGGCTCCAGGAGCGGCGACAGCGTCGCAGGCTCCCCGCTCCACAGAGCAGCCCGCAGCAGGCGGCACCTGGAGGGGGTCCTGAAGAAATACACCAACCTGCTGCACGGCTGGCAGAGCAGGTGGGTGACATGGGGCTCCGACAGAAGACAATGAAGTACAGATATTTTGAAAACTTAAATAAGTTTTAAGAATAAACTAGAATACAAGTTGTAATCTTGTCAAAGCATCTGTAGATGCCAAGGATGGGTTTCCACCAACAAAAGAATCATCACCTACTTGTCTTAAGGATTACATATTTGAGTGCTTTTCAAAGGTCAACAATGCATTTTTGTGCAGTAAATTCTCTTTAAACCCTGATTGGTAAGACTTGTAGGTCAACAGTTTGTTTAATACCCGAATTCCAACTCTAGAAGTCTGTCTTGGCCATGTCCATTCTTCCTTTCATCTTCTACTGCTCTTCTGAGTTCACATGTTGGAGCCAGTCCCAGCTGACACCAGGTGAAAGAAAACACAATCTGGTGAGGTTGTTGGTCTGTCACAGGGCCAGCACACAACAGACCAACAATCAACCATTTACACTCACATTCACACCAATGCTCCTATCATTGCCTCTGAGTCTCTCATAATCAAAATGTTGTCTTTGGACTGTCTTTAGAAGAATTTAAAGCAACTCAGAAGAGTAGTAGCTGTGAACCAGTGCTGACCTACTACCAGAGAGGCTGCAGATTTTACCCTGATCTGGGTATGGTGTTGAAATGCTTTCAGGAATGTCTAATATGATTTCACTTAAAATGGCCTGTGGTTAGCATCAGTTCTTCTGGATATTTTTGCTGAGATTGAAACTCTATGGTCAGCCTTTGGCACAGACCTGGAAACAAGGAGTCGACTGTTATTATTTCAAACCTGCTGAGTCTTGCTGTAAAGGGAAAAATACCATCATTTCTTCACAACATGGTGTGTAGACGATGTTTACATGCTCCTTCTGCCGTACAGCTGTCTGATGAGACTTATTTTGCAGTGCACACTCAGGTGTGTTTCTCACAAAGTATGAATACATAATACCTTATAGGAACAACGCATGTACATTTTATATGATGGTCTAAAACTGCACCACTTTTTGTTGCTTGGCTGAGGCATTAAAGCCTTTTATATCACACCAGTCTCTCTGTGGACACTGTTGGTTGCATACATAATAATACAAAAGATTCCAGTGCAGAGATTGTGTCAGGCCAACTTTCACCATCCCTCCTTAATGTGTGATGCAGCTCTCCCCCTCTTGTTTGTCTGTGTGTGCATCCCCCCTCTTCATTCAGCTCTAACCTGTGCTGACGTCACAGTGAGAGGAGAGACGATGTGGGGGCGGGAGACCGAGAAACACTGAATGAGTCATCCATCGCGGCCCAGGAAAGCCCTGCACCTCCGTCCTGCACACCCCCCTTCCTCCCTTCATTCCTCCTTTCTTGTTCTCCTCCACTGACCCACTCAACTGCTCTCACTGATCCAGTGAATCGATAGGAGAGGCATCCAATCGTGTAATGAGCTCCATGATCACACTTTTGACAGTGTGTGGTACACTTTCCTCCTCCTCACCTTCCTTCTGTCTTCAAACCGGCAGGCCCTGTGTGTTTAGGTGTAATATGATATGAATAGCTCGACTCCACACAGAACTCTGCTGTCTGCTTTCATTGCACGTCCTGCCAGAGTGAGCTGGAGACGGATGATGCACTAAAGCAACAGTGTCATGGATGTTGCTTTATTGTTCTTCTCAATCTGTCAGAAGGGATTCAGGGGCTGTTTGTTTGTTTGTTTTAAGCAGAAGATTGACAGAGGAAATACAGACTTATAGTTGTCGGTACATGTAGTAAAACTGTGATTTATTCAGCGAGGGAGAAAACGATCAGTTTTCAACAAGAGTGCAGTTGTGGGGGGTTAGTGTCAGTGAAAACAACTCTCTGTCCGACTTAGACAGATTGGTTCTACTTGACATCGTCATTTACAATAACAACCTGAGTTAACAAATCAAAACCAAAGGCACAGTTTTATACCGTGACCAAAATATCATAAATCATAGAACACTTGATTTAAATCCCTTCTGATTTGAAAGGAATTATAGCACTCCAGCAAGCCTGCTGAGTTGATGACACCTGTGGTATTTTTTTTTTAGAAACGATGAAGACAATTTAGGTGTCAGAGAGGTTATGTGTAAGCTATATTTGTTGCACTTAAATTTCTATGATGAATAGTTGTAACTGCTTTGTAAGGCACACACAAACGATGTCACCCCTAAGACGGTCAGACAGATCCCTGCCCAGAGCAGTGATTTTTAGCAGTACCTGTAGGACTTTGAGAGTGACACTTCCTGCGCTTGTGTCAGCATTGTTATACAGTGGTTTGCTGACTCACTATCCACTGCCATGTTCCATGCTGCTGAAGACAAGTTGTTTAAAGCAAAGAAGACAGAAAAAGTGAGTTGAATTCACTTGATGTTTCCTCTGAAAACCACACAGCCACATGACACATGACATGGTGGAGGAGATGAAACAGCTTGCTGTGTGAAAACACAGTTAAATTATTCATAGCGATTTCTTTCATCTCGTTGCTGCTTTGCCTTGTCTTCTATTAACCCTCTGTCCTTTCTTCTCCATCTCGACCACTCTCTCTCCCTCTTCCCCCCACTCCTCCTTTCCCACTCTCCCTCTCTCCTCCTCTGTTTTTCTGCCCTTCCCTCCATCAGCGGTTCTCATCTGTGCTTAGACACACTGCTCCCATATGAGACTCTCCGGGGGGAAATCACTCAAGCCTCAGTAGCTCACAGATGAGCTTCAGTGTGAAATGGAATAATATTTGTCCCTTCTCTAACCACGACAGAGGAGTGCTGACTGCACAGTACGATGCTAACGCTGGTTGTTTATGTGTGTAAGAGAGATGTACTTCAATAATCACTCTCAATCAATACCCTGCTGCACTAAAGAGTTGCATTTGGATTTGAAGGCCCAGAAGGCACACGCATTCAAGATGATGTAAAAAAGTTCACATAATGATGATGCTATTGGACTCCATTCTATGAGAAACACTTTGACTGGCTACAAAAAATATGTCTCCCTTATGTTTTAATATCACCCTCATCTACAGCTCTGGCTGCAGTACCGTTACTGGCAAGCAGGGGCTGGCTCTGAAGCCCTTTTGCCTAATTATAATCGTATAACAATGACATTAGCATGGAACCCACTAGTTGTTGACCTTAGTGAAAGTGCTAGAAAACAGCAATTAAGAATGTTCCTCCTGCTAGTGTTAGCTCTTCTCAGTGGTGTTTTCACAGCATCCTGTCATCCTAGGTGAAGGCAGAAGAAAACAGTAAGAGCAAGGAAAATGCCTCAATGGAAACTGCTTTGCATCTTTTCTGTGTCTGTGTTTAAAACTGAACGGTGAAGTGAAGATTCCAAGGTGCTGAATTTAAGACACAGGACAAGTTGTAAAAGAAGCTAACAAGGTTTTTTCTTTTTCCTGTCCGTCTTTCTGTAGATATTTTGTTCTGGACCCAGAGGTCGGTCAGCTCCAGTATTATCTTAATGAACTTAGTAGAAGCCAGCGGCCTCCCCGAGGGTCTCTGCCTCTCCTTGGAGCAAAGGTCGTCTCTCGCAAACATGTTTACTATACAGTCCTCTACTGGGGATTTCTACAAACTTAGAGGTAAGGAAATGTGTTGTGCATTGCTACACACACATTCTTGGTCTCACTAATACGTATCCTTTTCTATAAAGGCTGCATTTTACCTCCATGTTTCAGGAGATGTTTGGTTCATATTCTGTGCACTTTATCAAATGTCACAACCATGCAGTAGTCAATTCTATGGTTGTTTGGTTAATTGTTTTTTTCATTCTACTTAGAATTTTCAAAGCTAACTTAAGCTGTCGTGTCTTTAGCTTAATATATTTGTGCTTTTTGGACTTGTATTACTCGTATTGTCTGTTAGCTACCCATTCGATTTTTTGAGTTGAATTCAGCTACTTGGTATAATTCTTAGTTGTAGTGTTTTGCCGAGCCTATAAGGGTTTGAAAGTTACCTAGCTTTAGTTCTTTAATTACTTCCTTGACTGTTTTTGAATCGTGGTTAGTGTCTTTATATTAAAAATGTGTTTTCGTCTTCCTGTCAGCATTGGATGCCCAGGAGCAGGAGCTATGGATGACTCACCTTCAGCTTTGTTCCAGACGCCACTCAGACAGCAGCACCAAGGTATGCACCAAGCATCAAAGTACACACACACGCACACACACACACAGATGCAAAGACACACACACAGACTTGCTAAAGCATCTTAAAGACAAAGACCTATGACTGTTTAAATTTGATATCGATCATGAGATTTGGAATTCTCGTTATGACTCCTCCTCTCTTGCCTTTAATTGAGTTACATCCTCTCTAAATGTACTGGGAAGTGCTGGTCCAGACAGGCTGGTCCGGATGACTCATGGAGCCAGGCACTACACCAGTCCACTTTGTGTCCATTGCTGCTCCTGTCCAAGTTTTTCTTTTATTGCGGTAGTTTGTAAATGTATTTAAATAATGAACTATTTACTAGATGCACTCATTGATGCTGATTGCGAGGAAATGTCTTTACATAATCTATTAACTTGATCGAAAGTTTGATTTCTTCCGGAACTAGCATTTAGGACAAATTTTTAATTTGTAACCACATTTTGACATCACATATATAATTTTGATCATGTTTGTCATACTGTGTTGCAAATACAGAGTAGTCAGATGAGTGCACAATGTGACCCCCCCGCCCTCCCTTTTCAAACACATATCCAGTTAGGTGAGCTTGTCTTTACGATATTAAGTCTTTTTTTTATTTTGTCAATTACTAGACATTGCTGGCAACCCCATTAGAATTCCAGATGACTCCAAGGTTGAAAAGCACTGATCTAGATTGTGATGTGGTTTCAAGTGGACCATGACAACAGCAAGCAAAATGAAAGGAAAGCACATGCATGACAGTTTAATAGGAACTTCTGATCTATAAAAGACGTCTTGGTTTCACAGCAATAGTTGAAGTGATACCATTTATATAAAGAAATGACATCTGTAAGTGTCATAAACAGATTCAGTGAAAATGTTGTCAGAGTTATTATCACTGCTGGAAGTGCAAGTGTGACAGACATTCATCACGCACGCACGTACACACACACTCATTAAATAATCTGAGACATCCCAGTGGCTTTTGCTCTGCAGTAACTGTGTCACTGTTAATTACCTCCTGTGGTCAGAGAGAGAATCTCATCATCTCTATTTCCTCTTTGTTTCTTCTTCTATTTTATTCCCACATCCAGAAGTCAAACAATTGCACGATCTGTCCTTATTTTCATTGTCTTTCTTTTACACCTCTTTCGCACCAAAAATATCAAATGTTCTCAGGTTTTAAGCCTGAGAGAACTCACTTACCAGACAAAGTTATTTTTGCAGCTTTGTTTTTCTCTGATTCGTCTGCTTGACGTCAAATGTGACGCACGTTCACAGCCGATGTGCACTACACAACAGGGGAGACAAGACAAAGACGAATCAACACGAATACCTGTGTCTAAAACTTTTTATTATTATTTCATTATGTTTCAAAATTGTGACCCTATTGATCTGTACTTTGATTATCCGGAGAGAAGTACGTGTATGTGTGCGAATGGTTGTTTGTCCCTATATGTGGTCCTGTGATGGGACTGTTGACCTGTCCACATTGTCCCCACCTTCACCTGATAACTTCTGAGGTTTGCTTTTATCCAAAAAAGGTGATGGATAAATCAGTGGTACTATTTGGTAAACATGTCGAGTTATGGGACATAACCACCATAGTACACTCTGAAGGTGCACCCTCACATACAAACAAGTCACTTATTTTACTCTATGTACTTTGGCCTGAAAAGATGGAGGATAAATGCAGGTCCTGCACGAATGATTTCCTTATTTGAAAACAGTTTTTATTATACCTGTGTGTAGGTGACAATTCAAGATGGTGGGCCGCAGAAGAACGTAGCAAACACTGTTGAGTCACTGCCGCCCCGAGGTGGAACCCTCTCCGCTCTGGATGATGTAACTCATAAGGTACTGTTTATCTTCCATACATTTGTCTGTGTAGCACTTGTAAATGAAAAAGGAGGTATTAATTGTGTCCATTATCATTGGACATTGAGATGAAGTGAAATATAAGAGCATTTTTATTTGCATTGATTGAGTTGTGGAGGTTTTATACTGGCTTAACAAGGGTTTGATTGACTCCTACAATACTACACAACAAGTACTGTAGATGGAGTAAAACTGTCTACTCAGATATGGCTCTCTTCTCTCGTCTGATTTCAAGGTTCTACTGACTTTTTTTTTCTTCCATTTGTTAAAGGACCTTCTCCTCTTAAAGGCCACATCTGCTGCCACTCTGAGCTGCTTGGGGGAGTGCCTCAGTCTGCTGCAGCACAATGTTGTCCAGGCCCTCAATCACAACCAGAACCAAAACCAGAACCAGAACCACATCCCTCTTCCCAGTTTTAGCCACAGCTCACCTGGTGGATTCAAGTCATCTACAGAAAGAGTAAATGTAAACCAGCTGGGGGCCGGAGGTCTTGATTCCAGAAGTCGGAGCCCAACTCACAGCCTTAGTGGGGGACGAACGCCTGTTCACAGCAACAGCTCTGGAAGACAAAGCCTTACACCTTCAGGTGAGTTGTCAGAGGCAATCCATCCAAGAGGAAATATTTCAAAATTTTACATTTTACACATGAGTAGTGTACCTTATCTTAGTGTAGTGTAACTCATTTTTAAATGACTATTTTGCATTTAATAAAATACCTTCCCACTGATTGAATCTTAAATTTTTAAGAAATTAGTACACACAGTTTTCATCTGCTCCTATTTTCATTTTACACCATCCTGCTGCTAAGCAGCACAGCTAAAACCTAACGTAGATGCCTTTGGCTCCCTCCATCTGTCACATGACTCTTACCTCACACATCTTCACGGTACCTCAGGAGATTCGCACATCACATGGCTTCACTTGAGCTTCTCCATCTGCCCATGAAGTCAACGCTCTGTTTGCTTGATTTCACTTTGTTTGCAACAATTTGTATTTTACAATACACACTGACTCCTGATAAGAAAAAATGAAATTTTTGTTGATGAATATTTCACAGCACTAATGACGGGGCCAAGGATAAAACATTTGTGTGGCATTAGTTTGGCATAAAAGTGCAAACGTTCTTAATCAGATAAAGATTCAAATATATTTTTCAGAATATCCCATAAAACAACACTCAAAGAATAACTTCATCCACAATATTTTTTAAGTTGGTGCCAGAGTTTTATGGCAGTATAAAGGGAAATATTTCAACATCTAAATACAAGCAGAATAGACAGCTGTGTGATTTATACTCCCTGTAATCCTACTTTCATGGATCAGCAGAACAGGATTGACCTCTACTTGCAAGGAAGTGTGGATCCAGGACAGATTCAGATGGAGAAACTAAAATTAAATTAGTACTAATGCAAGACAGTTAAATATCAACTTGTATCAAAACATCACTGACCATGGCGGGGGAAAGCTCACCTGTATACATACACTGATCTCTCAATTACGTCTAACTCCATCAGGTACTTCAACATTGGTTCATATCCCCATCTCACATCCTGTTGTTGAATCAGAAAAAAATGACTGCTATACATTTTCCTTCAGAACATCAATCACAAAAAATATCAGGACAGTACATTTAGAGAAAAACATTCAAAGGTACATGTGTTGCTGTGTTTGCAAAGTTGAGAACGGTGTCAATGGTAACGGTGCTTCTGTTGATCCTCCATCAGACAGTTCCCCTGGACGCTCCAGATCTCCATCTGAGTGGCTGGTGAGAAATGGACCACAGACACTTCTCTTTTCTCGGCCATCTTCAACACAGATAAACAGGGATCCAGAACTCCTTACACAGGTGATTTATGCAAAAGAAACGTTTCCTGACATGTGATCAGGAGCGTATCACTCTACATTCTATTCCTTAAATTCCAGAAGGGGGCTCCCGAGGGATAAATACAGTTCTATCTAGTTAAGGATACAGATCCAAAATATTGCTGTGGTGTTTGTTTTTCAACCCCAGGGGGCTTCACACAACTAGCTCAAGCTTGTTTTATAGCTGATTTGTCAAATTGTATTTTCACATTTTAGGTAAAGGAGATTATTTCCAAATGTTTTCAATTTCTTAGTGAAATGGCTTCTACCCATAGTTTTTGAGATAAGGTTTATATTTACTGGGATTCGAATTACTCATAATTGCAGAAGAGTAATTATATTCCTTTTTATATTAGTCTGTGGAGATAAAGGTTTAAGAAACACGAAAGTTTGTACTCAGGGTTTTTTGTATTATCAAAACTCTCTTAATTTTTAATTTGCTTTTTAACTTTTTATACATTTAACATAAATGCATCACAAAGTTAAGGTGATGATCTGCAGAAAAAAGTCTGTTTGTCCAATAATCTCCTGGGTTGCCATGACAGTGAGCAGAAAATTAATACTTTAACCTGAATCCATCAGATGGAAGGAAAGGATTATCACCAGATTAAAAAAAAAAACATCTGAGAAAAGTCTCTGTCTTTGGTCTTGACTCCGTCCCACTCACTGCTTCAGATCTCTGCATTGTTTATTCCTGAGACACCTTCAGATGTATGGTTAATGTCATCTTCTGTCAAATCTGATTTTATTTGTCGGTCTTTGCTTTTCATTGTGTGGTAGGAGTACAAGCCCTGTTCCTAAGTCTAGTCATGGGTTTGGTCTTAAGCTACTGGACCTTCTCTAGAATAAAGACTAGTCATGGGATACAAGAATGGATTGGGTGGGGGCTGGGGTGTTGATGTTCACATATTGTTACAACAGCCCTTTTTTTCTGCCAAGATTTGAACATGTGCTTAAAAAACACAGCAGAGAAGGTTCATATTGTAGTGAGATAGCTGGTATAACAGTGGAGGAGGCAAAATCAATCAAATTAAGAATAAGATAAAATAAAGGTCCTGTCATGCATCACACAGTTAATTTTTGTAAGTGATGCCTGTGAGGAGACAGAACTGAAGTCCTGCTGCTGCTGGAACTAGGAATGGAAAGAATCTAAAGATTGAGAAACTTTCACAGAAGCTTAGATCAAATCTAAACACACAGCTGTTGTTACTCAAGTGTTACCAGTGACTGTGATGTCATATATCTATTTATTATGCTACATCTAACAAATAAGAAAATACAAAAACAGGTAAACAGGCTGAATAAAAACAACACTACAACAATGTTGTCGGTATCCGTTTCACATTAAATATTCAAATCTAAGGCAATAAGATGGAGTGAAATGAAAGTGAGACTGAAAAGTGAGGAGGAAGATGAGGAGGAGACACATAAGTAGCAGTCGTAGGAGGAGTTCTGATGTTCAGTGTTTGGTCAGGGCTTATGTTCAGAAGGAGGCTGTTTGGGTAAAGAGGATTGTTGGCATCACTTCTTATCTGTCTACATAAGTACACCAGGCAGAGTTCCACTTCCATCTACTGCCTATTTTTCTTTCTTTCCTCCTCGCTGATTTCTCTCCTCATCTGCCTCCTCGCCATCACTTTAGCTCTTAATTTGTTACTTGCTGTGATAAAACTGGTGCTGGGACATCTGTGGGGAGTCTCTCTGCTCAATGCTTTCTGTCCTCTTGAATGATGGTGGACACCAAATCCAGCTGGATTCCGAACAAGTCAGACATCGTGAGTGTATTGCTGCTGGTTCACCCGGGCTACGAAGAATATTATGATGATATTTGGAAGTTTTGTGGAAATAAAAGCAAGGCTTCACATGTCCAAATGTATTTCAGATAGTTGGTAAAAGATGGTGAAAAAAAGCGTTGTTTAGGGTTAGGGTTAGCACAGAGGCTAATTTTATTCTGCTCACTATCTTTCTTTAAAAAGAATTCCATCAGTGTGCAGCATGTGGTGCTGTTGTTTCTGGTCACCAAGTCTGGTCAGAGGGAGAATACAACCACTATAACTGTTGTGTTATACTGTATATGTCTACATTTACATAGGAGGCGGTAGAAGACCCAGTAGGAAATTCCAATACAAACAAACAAATTTATATTGTTCAAAATGACATGCATGAATGACTGCAGTGATAAATGACTAGACATCACAGATATCTTGTAAGAGTAAATGAAAAAGAGTGGGCAGAAAATTATGACTTTCACCTTTCCTGAAGATATTTGATCTTTTTCTGTTTGCTGTTTCCACCAGCAGGGGCAGCAGTATGACCAGACCAGCAGTTCAGACTTCCCAGATCCTAATGATGAGACCACAGACACAGAGGACAATGAGGAGGAGGACTTGGGAGTTCTGGACGATCAGCGTAGCATCATCATACACTTACTGTCCCAGCTGAAGCTCGGTATGGATCTGACACAGGTATTCTGCTCCTGACTTTATCACCTCAGCTTAATAATAATCCTCGGAATCTTATCTTATCTCTACTGTATGACTGTATTGATGACCTATTCTTCTATTAGGTGGTGCTCCCTACCTTCATTCTGGAGAAACGCTCCTTACTTGAGATGTATGCTAACTTTATGGCTCACCCTGACATGTTCCTTTCCATCACATCTGGCTCCACGCCTGAGGAGCGTTTCCTTCATTTTGTGGAGTACTACCTGACTGCCTTCCACGAAGGTCGAAAGGGTGCTGTAGCTAAAAAGCCCTATAACCCCATCCTGGGTGAGATCTTCCACTGTTCTTGGCATGTTCCACGGGACCGTGTTCGATCTCTTAGGACCACCAACGGACCCGGTCCTAACTCAGCACCTACGGGCACCTCCAACGTCCTCAGATCCTCCCACAAGGGTAAAGATGGAAGCAGAACACCTTCAGACTCTTACTGCGTTCGCTTTGTGGCTGAGCAGGTATCCCATCATCCACCTGTGTCTGGCTTCTACTGCGAGTGCAAAGAGAAGAAGATGTGTGTCAACACTCATATCTGGACTAAGAGCAAGTTCATGGGCATGTCTGTTGGAGTCTCGATGGTTGGAGAAGGTAAAAGACAGCTTGGCTTCACTGTTTTAGTTGTGTTCATTAAACCTTCAGTTCTTTAGGCCTCAACTTTAGGCTTGAACTTGGAGCTACATTTGCCTATGAACATCAGCAAGGTTTCTACCATCTTTCTAGTTTTTTTCCTTTGTGTTACTAAACTGTGTGACATTCTTTATAGGAAATATTTACTTGCGTAAAATAGACACAGTAGGTGGCAGTGCTGCAACTCAAAAGATTCCACTCTGTTGGTAAAGTCCAAAGAAAAAGGCTGTACAAGTTAGTACCATTAGCTAAGTGACTCTCAAAACAAAATGTTCGGGCATTTGTTACATTTAGCAGTGACCTAATCATGATAATTTTTTTTTCTTGTGGTCAAGCGTTTGACCAAGTCTACCAGATTTCTATAATTGATTGCTCCAGTCTACATCCATCATATGTGATCTAATCTATATGATGTCATCTTTAATGTTGTTGATGGGTCTTTTGATGTCTTTCCATTAACCCTGTTTGTCTCGCTCAGGTGTATTGCACTTGTTGGAGCACGATGAAGAGTATGTGTTCACGTTACCATGTGCTTATGCCCGCTCCATCCTCACTGTGCCATGGGTGGAACTTGGGGGAAAGGTCACCATCAACTGTGCCAAGAGTGGCTACTCTGCCACCGTTACTTTCCACACTAAACCCTTCTATGGAGGAAAAGTACACAGGTAGACAGGGTCCCACAGCTCTGGTTTCTGTTGTATTCATTTATATATTCTGATTATTGCAAAAAAAAACCCTTGTTTTCCCAGAGTAACAGCAGAGGTGAAGAACAATGTGACCGGAAACATTGTGTGTAAAGCCCAGGGGGAGTGGAATGGGGTTTTGGAGTTTACTTACAGCAACGGAGAAAGCAAGGTGATTGACACTTCAAAGCTGCCAGTCATCAAGAAGAAGATCCGACCTCTGCAGAAACAGGGCCAGTATGAGTCACAGTGAGTACGTTCAAGGCAAATTTTAAATATGGAGCAACACAAGCTTATGAAACTCAAGATCAGCGTGCAGGCAACAAAATCACACTGATATATAATCATTTCTGTTCAGGTCAGGACTTATATTTACAGATATTATCATCAGTTTTAATATCCACAGTTACAAACAGACAGAAGAATTGACAAAAACAACTCATTATCTCTGGGATAGGTTAACTTTATCAGCAGAGATTATAAAGACAAGGGTTCACGTGAAACTCAACCCATGACACACATGGTTCACAGATTTTGTCGTTCACCTAATTTTAATTTCCTGGCTAGAACAGTTATTGCGTTGTTTTCACTTTGCGTAGGAATCTTTGGCAGCATGTGACCGCATCACTGAAGGCAGGAAATATGGACTCTGCCACGGAACACAAACACTGGCTGGAGGAGAGGCAACGCAGTGAAGGCAAACAAAGAGCTTCCACCAAAACACCTTGGAAACCCAAGTATTTTCTTAAAGAGGTTAGGAGCAGAAGTCTCTGGTTGGATGTAACGGCTATAATTGTGCACTAATCTGTGAATAAGTGTTTGTTGTTTGATTTTATTTATTTTTTTATGTTTTAATTTTTGTATACGTGAAACACAGCTATGTTTTTTTGTGACTAACCCAAGTGATGGAATCAATAATATGGAAATATGGCAAAATAAAAGTAAAACTCAAAAAATTGCATTGATGAGTTGATGGATTTTAAACATTACCGGTCATCTTAATTGCTTGTCAAGCACATTGACATTTTTTATGCTAAAATGTGTCTCTCTGTGTGTAACTGTACAGGGTGAAGGCTGGGTGTACCATAAACCTCTGTGGAAAGCTCACTGACCAAGAATCGTCAAAGCTATGGTGCACCTTCAAACGGCCACTGGAGGGAGACAACCTCTGACAACCTGAAAAAGTAGGAGTCAGCAGAGAAGTCAAAATGACAACCTGAAAAAGTAGGAGTCAGCAAGATGAAGACTGAGAGGAGGAACCAGAGACCACAACAAAAGGTGCCAAAACACTTTCAGTGGACATGGATGAAGTAAAAATGATCTTCAATCAGAAACACTTTTTTCTCAACAGAGAGGTGACACAGTTTCTACAGATTAATTAAGCCAAATGGGACATTTTCAGATTCTTTAAACTAGTGTGAACTGCCACTGAAATGTTTCCTTCTTTGCACAGTGAACTAAACAAAGTGTCGATCATCACTGTTTTTGCACAACTCACTGTCAAACAAATGGTGATGAGTCAGAGGATTATGTTAGATTACATGTTAAAGGCAATGGTTCTGAGTAACAGATAAAGGGACAATGACTGCAGAACAAAAACAGTTTATGGTTAAGGCCAATGGGCAATAGTTAAGAAACGTTTTACAGTTTATTGGAGGCCTCAAACTTCTTTCTTACATGTGTCTTTTTTGCTGTTATCACAATAAGAACTTCCTTCAATTTTTTTTTTCTGAATGAAATACGAGCCAAAGGAATTTCATATATAGCTATATATCCGTGTTATCGTATTTTGCAACTATAAAGTTCTTATTTCAGGTTATCATTTAGCCGTCTTGTTGGGTTCAAACATATTTGGAATGTTTGCTATATTTTTTGGTAACTTTTAGCTTCATTTTGCTAAATGTATCCACCATTTTGTCTTTAATAGTCCAACTCAAGTGTAATTGTAAGTATTTTTGTGCTTCTTGGTAGCTTACAAAGTGTTGCATATTGAATCCTTAATGATTTTGCTGCTACGTGTTTTCGAAACATTGTAAAAATCAAATAGGTCAACTCCCTCAGTGGCCATAATATTTAGATTACAGTATAGTGTTAGCAGCATTAACTCTGGGTGACAAATGTGTGTGTGTGTGTGTGTTTTATAGTAAGGTTATGTGTGTGTGAATGGATAAACTATACATAGTTATTCTCAACAAACAACTATTGAAGCACATTTTTAAAAGAATGTAATGAAGATGGAGTTGAAATTCAAACTGTTGCTCACTTATTCTTCTCATTTTGCTGAATAATGAATGTTAAGGCAAATATATCACCCTTTATAATTACTTCATTACTAGGAGTATGTATGTATTATATCACATCTGGATACTGTTAATAATCCACAGCATCTACTGACACCATGTGGTTCTTCATGCTGTCACAATTTGATCAGTTTTCTGATATTGGTTACTATAATCCAGGTAGCCTGATCTAGTTGTTTTTTGGGTATATTTGGGAAATTTAGCTACAAAAATAATGACATGGCTCAGGCTCAAGCTGCATAATAAGAGACAGAAGAGATCATTTTTACCACAGCAGGTAAAATGGAATCATGTTGGAATACTATCTCTATTTTTAACTGACACCCAAAAATGTGAATAAGGGTGCAGTGCATGTTGCATATAAAGCAGCGGTTGATTTGTACATGTTTAGATTCCTCTAGTAATTTTATATAAATATATCAGGACTTTGTTGCACATCTGGAAGTAGTTTAATAATTATTAGCCTGTTTAGTTGCTATGTACATTCATTACTGAGATATTTCTGTTCATAGTTAGGTCTATTCTAAGAGTACAGAGACTTTGACAATATACCTGTCACATAATATTTTGGTGAAATGTCGCACAAAAAGTTGGTTTGCTATGTAGTTTTGCTGGAAAGCAACATCTAAAGATTTTATAGTCAACATTTCTGTAGCTGTGCTTTTAACAAAGATATATTTGGTGTTTACTGTTTACTCATTTATATTATTATAAGTCTTATTTTGGCCTATTACAACGGACAGTTTGGTTACTTGGTTAACCTGTGATCATTTGGTAGTGAACACGAACCAATGACATTTTTTCTGAAAATGTTTCAACAGTTCCCTTTTTTTTCTTTACCTTTCAATTGTGATATGTATTTGTAGTACACATAATACATAATGCAAATATGTTTGGTGTTCACTCAAACTATGTATTATAGTAATGGCACCAAACTACACTCGGTTATTAATTAATGTGAAACGGTGAAAGTTTGTGAGAAATAAGAAATCATTATATATCCTAATTTGTATTAATCACATCTTCATCATAACATATACCTGCATTTGTAATGTACAAGTACAAGGAACTAGTGCAGTGTTTGGAACAGATAGAAAAACTCAACACTTGGTCCTCAGTCTGACTATGTAGTCACCTAACCTATGCAACCCACGGCTGTAAGGACCCTCCCTCTGGAGGAAGAAGGTAGGAGGTGTGTTTATTTAAAATAAATGTCTTGTTTTCTCATTGAGATAGTGGTTATTTTGTCTTCTAATCAAATAAATTAAACCTAATAATGCACAAAATGATTTTTCTCTGAACAATTAAGTTATTTGAGAAGAAAATAGTTAGGTGACAGCTTCCTTAAACAGACAGTCAAAATATAATTTTACACATTTGTTTGAAAGAGTTTTTCAGTGGTGTGCCCTGTATTTCTCACTGAGACCTTCAGTGGTGTCCTGCATGAACAGATTCACATGCTAATCATTTAATTGTCTATAGAAACCTTCAGCATTATGCAGAAATGTACTATATCCTACAGAGTTGTATTTTAGATCAGCGGTCCCCAACAAACGATTAGTAAAGAAACCAGTGCCACTACTGAAAGTCTTTGGGCAGATATCTTTCACCCTGGCAACACATGAGGCTAAAATATGATTGGATAAAAAAAAACCCTGGCATATTCACGACCGGAAGCTTCGCAGCCAAGCGAAAGGCTGAGAATGAGAATGATTAATGAGAACAAAATACTTATTTTGTAAATATTCATGATAGATATATTAAAAAATAAGTCACTGATTTTGATACTGTTTAGGTCAGCAGAGATATTCTTTGACAGTTAAAACCACTGATTTTTGTGGAATTTGTGCACTTGTATGCAATTAAAACCACAATGCCCCGATTATAAAATGCCCAGTTTCAAAAAGAGATATTAACATGCAGATTGCACAGAGAATACTTTGCACATTTGTATATTTCACGGGGTCACCTGGAGTATTGGTGGTAGTGTTTATTACCTTGCTGTGTTTGAGTGTTGAGAAAGTGCAATTTAAAACCATGTATGTGGTTTAGTTTTTGCACGTAGTGACAGCTAATCATGTAATACTTATCCTAGGTGAGGCAGGTTTTATCTGGGGGTAGGGTCTGGGGCGGTCTTTCTCTGTCACCACACTTCTGTCACATTCAAGTGATTGATTTGTTCAGTTTTTCTCTCCTAAATGGACTCTGAACATACGAGCACTAAATGTCAAAAACTGCCCTTTAAGGTTAGACATTAACTAGTTGTTGTGCGGTTTTTGGTTGTTCTAGTTCAGTGGTCTGACTGAGCGCAAGTGAGAGCATCAGAAAAGCTCAATTGTGCACGTGTAACATGAGGCCTAACGAGTATTGTGTGTGTGTGAATGGTTCTCAGTGACAGTATGAGAGGATTAGTATGAGAATAGTGTGTGTGTGTGTGTGTGTGTGTGTGTGTGTGTGAGTGCTGGAAGGCCAGTTCTTCATTATTACCGTCACTCTCCAGCTCCATCCTCTCTCCTCTCAGGCCTGATGCTCCTCCACACACTCTGCTGTGACTCAGCTTGTCTCCTGACCTCCATCCTCGCTGCCTTCCTCTTGTTGTTCCTTCTCGACCTGCCCTACTTTCACCTCCCTTCTGTCAGAGACAGCATGGACGACAACCAAACATTCATGTACTTTGCATATGGCAGCAACCTGCTGAAGGAACGACTGCAGTTGAAGAACCCCTCTGCCTTGATGTACTCTGTGGCCCGGCTCCAGGTAAAAAGTTGATCAATATGCTATATTGTAGGTCTCACTTCTGTCAATAATATACTTCTAATACATGTCTAATGTATTACTTGTGTTTACATTTACCTGTAAAAATGTCCATACAGGAGACCTGTACTCTTTAGCATGTACATCATCTCCACTTTAAAGTTACTTTTTATTTTTACACCATGTTTTGATTAAATCACATGGTGTGGTCAAATATCCCTGATCATTGTCTATATATAGAAAATGGTGTCCTCTGTACTTACTGTATCCTTGTAACAATTGAAATCTTTTTAGTGGTTCTCTGAGGCTCCGCCTCCCAGGATTTTGCCAGGTCTTTGTTCATAAAATGTAATGTCAATTTTTACATTAAATTACATTTATGCCACTAATCTAGTGAAGTTGGAATGTGATGGTATATGCCTGTCCTTTAGAACTATAAATTAGCATTTGGGAACCACAAAGGCATCGCCAATAGCCGTTGGCATGGAGGTGTCGCCACCATTGAGCCCAGCCCAGGCGATGAGGTGTGGGGTGTGGTGTGGAAGATGAACTTGTCTGATCTGGAATCTCTGGACAGGTAAAAGTTTAAATTTAAGTACGGTTATCATTCCAGTTAATCTTTTCCCGTTGAAACTGATATTGTCATGTGTGGGTTTACCCGTGCACAGACAAGAGAACGTCAGGTTAGGTACCTACAGTCCTGTGGAGCTGTCAGTGAAGACAGACGGCCAGGTGATTGGCTGTCGAAGCTACATCATGAACAGCTGTGTGTACGCTCCACCGTCACCACAGTACCTGCAGGTGAGATGGGCTTCATTACATGTTTGACACTTTCTTCAACGTCTTAGTTTAATGCTACATTTAACATAGTGTGGTCAATTATGAGGCAGTTTTTCCGGACACAGTACAAATGCACAAAGATTGGTAGAATAAATGGACTGAAATAAAGTATTTGTATAAGTACGGACTCCTGGGGTTGTTACATAAGTCTAATGGGTCGTAGGATGATTTATGGGTGAATAAAGATGAAGAAAAAAAAACGTGTCAGACACCTTTGTCACCCATACCAAGATTGTCACTCACTGATTTTCTGCATGGACTTTGGTGCTAGAAATTAAAAAAAATATATTAGCGGGACAGATAAACCAGATCTAGAGTTTAAAGCTGAGACTAAATATAATTGATTTCAATCTTTTTTCTCACTGTGTGTTCTTCTCATCTTATGCTACAGTACTCAGCACCCTCATGATAATGTGTCAGTGGGTCAGTCTGTTGCATAACACTGCAACAGCAGACATCGCCGTTGTAAATTTCCTTTTCCGTGCTGTCAGTCTCTGTAGAACTGACACGTCATCCCTGCAATAAAACAGCCAGGTGAAATAGACACAACACAGGCCACCTGGAAATGAGAAAAAAAATCTACATTTAAACTGATGAGAACAAAATAGCTGAAGATCTGCTGTTTGGCAGGTTTGTACCAAATACATTAAAGAATACAGGGGTCTCGTACAATTACAGTTTGTGGATATGGACATAAAAACATTAAAATAGGAATCAGTTTTGAACTCACAACACTCACACTCATAACTCTACTTTGTCCTCAGTGCCAGATTGTTCTTTCCCACATATGAAAGCTCCAAACACGCCTGTCAAGAGGGACACTGTTTTGTTATCACTGCTTTTGTCTGTCACATTTTTTGCCTGTGTTGTTGTCCGGCCTCGTGTGTGTACATAGTAGGTGTTACGTTTTCACAAATTCACTGTGGACACACAAGAAGAGAAGAACACTCATCTCAGCCAAACACTTTATCACCAAATACTGCAGGTGATCCTGATGGGAGCTGAGCAGAATGGGTTACCAAAGGACTACCAAGAGAAGCTGAGGGCAATCGAGACCAACATGTACGAGGGTAAACTGCCTGTCATGGATGAGCTGGAGAATGCCAGAAGAAAAGCCAAAGAGAGAGATGAGAAGCAATTCTGATGCTTGAATCTGCAACGCATTTCACAAGACAAAGTAAAAGTCTAATATTTAAGCTTCGAATCATTGAATTATTCTAATTGCTCTGTTATAAACTGTTCTATATCTTTGATAAAATATTAGCGCAAAAGCAAGAAAATGGAAATCTACTTATGGCTCAAAGGATGCTATCTTGCCATCATACCTATGATAGCTCCACTTACATCATATGGTGCAGTTGCACAGTTGGACTTTTTAGACTTTTGAATTGGCTTCAATCCAAACCAGCCTCTTACAGGGCAAGACTGAAAATGCAGACTAGGAAACTGTCTATACCAGGGTCCAGCAGCAAAGGAGCACAAAAATGAATAATAATTTTATTTGTTTTCAGCATGTTTCTACAGCACTTGTGTCTAATTCATGTCTAAAACATGGATGTTTCTACAGCACTTGTGTCTAATTCTCAATCTTGTCATGCTATATGACTTAGCTGATAATTATCTTGAATGGTTAATGGTAATAAGGAAGCTGAAGACATACTGTGCCATACCATGACAGAAAACATTTCATTTCTAACTCACATATACAAATAAGTAACTCTTCACCCTATCTGGTAAAGACCCTGGCCAATGATTATTTAGAGACCCTATATAATTTGTTTTCCATTGATTGGTAGAACCTTGGTGTGAGTGAGACAGAACAACAGAAGGCGTATAAAAAAAAGTGTAAGGAAAGTCTGGAAGATTTGGTGCTGAATTCTGCTGTGAGCCAGATCCAGCTGTCCTCCTCCTGCATGTGTGAAAGATGCTTTTCTGGGTTATGGAAACAAAGCAGATCAATGGTCTCCCTGAGTGTTGTAACCTTTGGGAAGTTTGGTGTCTGTTGACCAAACAAGTTCTACCCGCTCCCCACTGAGAGTAGTGCGTCCTTCTCCAACATGTCCGCCTCAATTCAGACATTTTTTGTCCAGATCCTTTACTCACCCAAGCAGAGCTGTGACAAAATCCCAAACGATACAGCAGCAGAGACGGAGGAATGATCGAGCACCACAGGTTATTTTCTGTGGTTCTTCAGCTACAAACCGTGACAGAGCTCGATATTGACTGAACGCTGGAGACACAGTCTACCACATCGACTTTGACGCAGTCTAATGTGTTCATTTCTACATTTCTATTTAGTTCGATATTTATTTATCTAGATCCTGATAAACAAGCTCTCCCATTTTAGGGCTCAACAAGTGTTAAGTGGGACACAGCAAGTGTCTACACATGGACTGTTGCACAAGCAGCTGCATCACCATCTGCGACCTCGAGGCCCTGGAGACCAGGCCGCTCTTTTTATTTATTTATTTATTTTTCACTTTTGATTATCATGTACTTAAAGAGTATTGTAAAGAGTAAGAGCGCATGCCTCAAATTCCAATATAAGCCTCCTAATCAAATGTTCCTTTACATTACTGCAGATGAGCAATGCCATGGTCACTAATGCATCACTATGATTTTGAAGATGCTGAATCAAACATTTAAGGCTCTCTTAGCCTCCTAGGTCCATGTAAATATAACTGTTATCTGTTTATGTTGCTACAGTCTGAAATGATGCTTTGAATAGTTAGCCAAAACATTAATCAAATGATAGCAAAGCAGCTGAAATCAAAGTGAAGCTTTTTTAAAATGTCCTTTATTAAATTTCATCTAAAGCCTAAAAAACCATGAAAACACCACACGTTTTAGACAACACAGTTGACTGTTGGGTTAACGGGCCTGTACAATTAAACATTTACAGGTGTTATCTCCAACACTCCACCCTCCCCAGTAGTTAGTTTGACTGACAGCAACCTCAGTGTCGCCATGTGCTTCTTGTTTGCAGTGGAATATTTCCTCTACCTAACCTTACACAGACTCCACTTACATAATTCACCTGCTACTGTAACTGAACTCGTAGCAAAAGCGAACCTGTGGGTTCATGCGCTGTGGTGACTGTGCAGCAAACCACAGATGTCACCGATATGATAACAGTCGATTGACAAAAACTGCAGTCAAATCAAGGTTCCTTTAACTTTCACTTTTTTGCCACGTGCAGCTCTTTGACGTATCACACAAAATATACTTACAAATAATAATAACAACAACAATAATAATAAACAAATATTTGGAATGACTCATCAATTATAATTTTTAATGCGACTGACCTTTCTGTGTGTGTGTGTGTGTGTGTGTGAGCCTTTACAATACATTCCCGCCTGTGACAGTAAAGTGCAGTGACGCATCATGACTGTGATCTCGGTCCTGGCTGCAGAACTGACATGGTGTTAATCAATAACAGGAAAAAGAGTCAAATTGAAAACGAACCGTCCTCCAGACCCTCTGCTGGGGCTGCAGAGATTATAATGGCGCGCGCGCACACACACACACACACACACACACCTCTCCACTGTGCGCGTCTCTGCTGCTCCTCCGCCGACTCTTGATCACTGATCTGCAGACGCCAGTACCGGGACCAGGGCGCAGACATGGAGAAGGATTCCAGACCTAAGTGGGACAACCCCACGCAGTTTCTACTGGCCTGTGTTTCTTACGCAATAGGACTGGGAAACGTGTGGAGGTTTCCATACCTGTGCCAGATGCACGGCGGAGGTAAGAGGCCGAGTCTTCATGTCAAACAAAGAGGCAGCGTGGCTGTGTGGATGCAGTGGAGCACAGCGGGACAGTCCCATTCTAATGAATCAGTCAACTGAATGGACAGGTGTCGTGTTTGTTATACGTCTGTTTGACAATAAAGGCGTCCGTGGAGCCTAATAACACACATCTGTTGCACCGTGATTTTCATCATTAAACCGGGCTCACACACCTGCTTTGGTGGACTCGTTGGTTCGTCGTGATTTGGAAAAGGCATCAATTCAAAACTTACTAAAACGTACTGGGAAAAAACCATTATAATTAATAGTTTCACTCGGTAGACGTTAAGAATGTTCTATGTGTGAATTCAAAACAGTTGTCGTTTATTTAATAATAATAATATTTCAAGTTCACCAGTTGTTTTTAAGTCAAAATGAATATATATATTTTATATACTACAAGGAGATCAACGTTTGATTATTCGTTTATTATTTTCAATGGCTAATATATATTATATTAATCTGAGAAGTCGACTTTATAAAGGTTTTCTATAATCAAAGGTCATATTAAATATTTAAAATACAATTTTTCAAATGTAAATTGTAAACAATTTCCTTTTTCAAAAGTAATTTGGATCGTTCATTTTTGGATATTTCTATCTGACCTTTAACTCGATCATTTGTTACTGTAAACAAAAGAATATCCATTCTTAATTTTTTATTTAAACTCCTGACCTGCATAGACAGAGTTCAAAAGCAGTTCATTCAAAAATGCTGGGTGTCGATTCACTGCTTGAAGTAGAACATAAAAAAACCCTAAATTATATCTGTTTATTGCAGCAATAAGCTCCTCAGGTGGAGGGACACGGGAAATGAATGTCAAAGTTTAAAACACAACTTAACTACGGGTTTAAAAATATACAAAAGAAAAGACAAAAGAATGTTCTAGAACATCATTAAAATATGTTCACAGAGTCAAAGAATGCTAAGTGCTTGGTTTAAGACTATTTTGTAGTCTTTGTGTCTTTTGATGATTTTCTATTATTTGTCTGCACTCCTGTCATTTACTCCTGTTAGTCTACTTGTTTTAATCACTTTATTTCTGGTCAGGATAAGAATTCTCAGAGTAATGGCTGGAATTTTACTGAGTCATGAATGAATGAATGAGTTTTTTTCAGTAGCCTGAGTCGGGGCGATTGAACCTGGGTTGATTTCCACACCGGTCCTTATCAAGTGACTCTTGACTTGCTATGAAGTTGAAACGGTTCATAAACCGAGTTAAGATATTTAGGTTCTAGAATTAGCCTTTGGATTAGCATTTGACCTTCTCTTCAATAACAACACACCCCTCACTTTGGGAACCACTGTTTTGAAGTGACTTCAGTATTGGTCCCATCTAGAATGAACTATATATGAGGATCTAAACAGAAGTACAGAACTCAGGCTGTGTTTTAACCTCTGTTCATAAACGTACCAAGAGTGGAAGTCAAAAAGGTGCAAAAACAGGTGAAACTCAAGGAATAACCTCAGCACAGTGCAAGTAATACTAGATAAGCATAATCATCACGGAAATGTCGGCACCGGAAAATGAAGATGATTACCTGCACTTTATCTTCTTATTACTATGCAGTCAGAATATGAGATGACACTTTTGTCCTGTGAAAAAGCAAATCAGTACATGATCACATGAATGTTTATTTAGTTTGACCATTGATCCCAGTTCATTACAGTAGCCATGTTTCTCTCCTGTTTGCCCAACAAACGCGCATTGTAAGTGTACAAGTAGATTAAAAGATTTGCTTCCACTCAGCTCGATTGTAAAATGTGCATTGTGTGCGCAAAAACACAAAACACAAAGGCTCTTCTGTGAGTGAGGACAAAGTTTATGGACTTTTTAAATTGTTGCCAGGATCAGAGATTGACTGAATGATTTTATTGGTGCAGTACACAGATCTATATGAGCTATAAGCAAATCTACTCTTTTAATTGGCCGGGAAGTGACACTTCCAAGCAGCACGACTAAGAAGCCCTAACAACCTGCACCTTAAGTGTATTTTAAAAAGGTACATCTGAATGAAACTGCAGTTTCATTATGTGTCTATATATTCATCTATCATATTCATCTATCTGTCGGTCTGTCTGTCTGTCTGACTGTCTGTCTGTCTGTCCGTCTGCCTGTCCGTCTATCTGTCTGTCTGTCCGTCTGTCCGTCCGTCTGTCTGTCTGTCTGACTGTCTGTCTGTCTGTCCGTCTGTCCGTCTGTCCGTCTGTCCGTCTGCCTGTCCGTCTATCTGTCTGTCTGTCCGTCTGCCTGTCCGTCTATCTGTCTATCTGCCTGTCTGTCTATCTGTCTGCCTGTCTGTCTATCTGTCTGTGTGTCTGTCTGTCTATCTATCTTTCTGTCTGTCTGTCTATCTGCCTGTCTGTCTATCTGTCTATCTGCCTGTCTGTCTATCTGTCTCTCTGTCTGTCTATCTGTCTCTCTGTCTGTCTATCTGTCTGCCTGTCTGTCTATCTGTCTCTCTGTCTGTCTGTCTATGTGTGTATCTATCTATCTATCTGTCTTACTTGTATATCTTGTATATCTAACCGTCTGCAGGGCTGTGCTGTGGTTCGTGTTTACAAACTCTCTCTTCAACTCTCTCTCCATCATCAGGCGGATTCCTGATTCCGTATCTTCTAATGCTGTTCCTGGAGGGTTTGCCCTTGTTCTGCCTGGAGCTTGGCATTGGTCAGAAGATGCGACAGGGCAGTGTCGGCACATTTTCTTCCATCAATCCTTATCTAGGGGGAGTGGGTGAGGACCCAGTCATTTATAGAACTGAGTTGGATAAATGATGAATTACTATTTATAACTTTTTTTTAAAAAAAACATTATTTGTTTCAGGTCTGGCTAGTGTTATGACATCACTGTATCTTTGTCTCTACTACAACATCATCAATGCATGGAGTTTCTGGTACCTCTTTAATTCATTTCAAGTAAGCTGGGTTTTTTGTAAGTACATGCATACACAGTTATGGGTGAGGGCTGTAGCTAACTGCTGTACAGTGATGATGCTTCATTCTTGAGACTGTAAGAGGCCAAGTCATAGAGAGGTGTGGCTTCAAAAGAATTTATATAAACATCAAATTCCGATTATTAAACACAGCACCACCTGGTGTTACAAACTAAAGACAACATGATTACATTACAATCAACCCTTGCAAGAAGTCTTTGTTCACAGGGTCAACAGATTAGTAGAAAATCACATTTAGACAATAACAACAAGTACAGTAACAGACTTATACTGCTCTGTTTTCCTGTTCTTTCCAGTCAGTCCTTCCCTGGGCTGAGTGTCCAATTAATACCAACAGGACCGGACCTGTAGAAGAGTGTGAGCGTTCGTCACCCACCCAGTACTTCTTCTTCAGGGAGACGCTTGACATCTCTTCCTCCATTGAAGTTAACGGAGGAGTTCACACTGGCCAGGCGTTGTGTCTCCTGCTAGCCTGGGTGATTACTTACCTGTTTGTTGTAAAAGGAGTAAAGTCCACAGGGAAGGTAAGAGACAATACAACCAGAAGATGAGACAGCAAGGTTTTCACTTTGTGGGGCTGAACTGAACTGAACTGTGTGTCCTGACCTCTAGGTGGTGTACTTCACAGCCACTTTCCCATATTTTGTTCTGGTCATTTACCTGATCCGTGGTGTGACTCTTCACGGTGCTGCCAACGGCATCAAATACATGTTTACACCAAAGGTAAGGTTCTTAAAAAAATAAAATCATAATCATGATTATGATTCCTCATGATCTCTGCCATTAGTCTCCACATTTTATGGTACTACTTATTGTACTTCTCTCTTTGTCTGCATCTGTACACGTGTCTGCTTTTAGCTGGAACAACTGGCCAATCCTACTACATGGATCAATGCTGCCACTCAGATCTTTTTCTCTCTGGGTTTGGGTTTTGGGTCACTTATAGCGTTTGCCAGCTACAATGAGTACAACAACAACTTTGAGCGCCAGGCCATCGCTGTTTCCCTCATCAACAGTGGGACGTCCATCTTTGCCAGCATCGTCACCTTCGCCATCTATGGGTTTAAGGCCACCTTCAACTATGACTAAAGTCTGGAGAGGTGTGTGTGTGTGTGTGTGTGAATGATATTCCAGATATCATAGTCTCTGTGAATGAAGTAGTCAAGTAGTGGAACTGCAAGTTCAGACAGGGCTTAGGAAATTCTTCCACGGTTGAACGATTAAAAAATGGATGAAAATCCAACATAATTCTCACATGAGTTACAGAAGAAGTCACAGTAGTTGATAGTCAGAGTGTATGTTTGGTTTAAATAGGCTCTACGTCAGATTGTGAGTCACACAGAACCTGAAGTTTGATCTGAGTCTGATTTGGGTCCAAAGGGTATTAAGTCAGAGTCATAAAAGAAGAGCAAGTTAAATCCCTGCGGTTTGAAGTCAGAATCCAAACCACTGGGGAAAACGTTGCAGTGAGCCTGGATGGAGTGCTTTGAGTTCTTCAAGTCGGAGTCTGACTAGAAGAAGAGGTTTGTTGCAAAAGCTGAGTGAAGTCTTTAAAGTTTCAACTGAAAGCTGCTACTGCTGGTATCATAATCAGGATCTTCAGACAATAACTGAGATAAAGGCTTCCAGTCCTCATAGAACCTAAAATACTAAAAAAAACAACAACACTTTAACAGTGAACTCTACCTGTCACACCAGATGGGGCCATACAGTTGTAATAAAACCAGGTTGTAAACCCACACACAAGTACACACATTAAAGTTGACATGTATGAAGTGTGTGCACTCTTAGTGTGTTTTAGTGTCTACTGAAGCCTGTGTTTCTAATCTGAAAAGTTATGGGCCATAAAAGAAACTAAAGGGCAGCTGCAAGGAGTGGCAGCAGAGAAGGGCAACAACAGTTCAGCATTTATCAGTTTCCCTCAGACACAGACTGGTCAGGTGAAGACTTATTGTATGTGCAAACCTCACACTATGAGTTGTCGTCAGGCTTAACCCTGGCCACTGTGCAGGTCAGGTTAGGTTGTCTAACGATCCGTCTGTGAATGATTTGGAGTTGTGTTTTTCCTGAGTGGTGAGAAAATACTGCAGTAATACTCCACTTTGGTTAGGGGTTTCCAAAAAAGCCCACTTCAAAAACAAACAGTAGAATACACTGCCCCAAATATTTTCTACAGTCAGCAGCAGATCACACAGTTTCACTCCTGGGAATGTGCTGCTGAAAAAACAGTGACTTTGAACACAAAGAGAATGTTGCCTTATTAGTGTCAAATGTTTCGCTAAGATACAAACAGACCCTGTGGTCAGGGAGTATCATCGTGAAGAATCCAGGTGTGGCTCAAGCTACTGATTTTGTTTTAATACCTCTGTCCTGACTCTTTTCCAGCACTCGCTTACTGCTGCTGAACACCTTTGACATAGCAGAGGACAACATCACCCTGGACACAGCCTTGGACTGGGTCAGAGAACTCAACATGACCTACCCGGAGAAGTTTGCTGAAATAGCCGATCAACTCCAAACATGTGACCTGGAGAAAGAACTTGACACTGTGAGTCCAACATTATCTCTGCTATTCACCACAACAGTAATGTAGACTCATGTTGGATGTCCAATATTAATTGTCCAAACACTTCATTTCCGATTCTGATATCAACCGATACTGATGAATATTCAGTGTACACCTTAAGGAGGAGCGACAACAAACTATAACTTTGACTGTAACTACACTTTAGGAGCAGGATTTCAGTGTGTTTTCCTGTCACAGGCGGTGGAGGGAACAGGACTGGCCTTCATCGTCTACAGTGAGGCCATCACAAACATGCCTTTGTCCCAGCTGTGGTCAGTGCTGTATTTCTTCATGCTGCTGATGCTGGGGATGGGCAGCATGCTGGGCAACATCACCGGGGTCATCACCCCACTCAGAGACTTCAAGTTCTTTTCCAAAATGAGCAACGAGCTGCTGAACGGTAAGACGTAGGTCTGCGCTGGGTTTTTTTTTTTTACAGCCAAGGCTGATATACATACAAAGAAGAGGAAATAAATGGAATAAAATATAGATTTTATTTTGCAGACGGAAGGCTATGTCCATGTCAAATGAACTGAGTTAAATGAGATCGTCGTCTTTTTTTTACAAGCAATGTTTTCAAGTGTGAGAAATGGATGTGGTGCCTACTGTAACAATTGTTATACTTTACTTTTTTTAGCTGACAATGCATTCAAATATTTTGTTTTAAAAAAGGCCTAATCTTTGTGGCTTGGAATTGTATTTTGATCACATCAGTCAGTGTTAAACATTTCTGTCTGATCAACTGTGGTCTTTCCTGAACAAAAGAGTTTTTTGTTTCCTCTCATTGCTCTAACAGAGGGAAGGCCCACTGATTAAAGTGAGAGACAATTAATTGGAATTTATTTCCGTCACTCACTGAACTGTGTAAGCTTGTGAATGTAACCGTCGTTTCAGGAGCAGTGTTCAAACAGCAGGGTTCCCTGCTGGGAACATTCGTTTCCATGGTGTCATTCAGACAGGCTTCAGGAACACAGAGGCTTTAGGAAGTTCTGGGGAGTGGAAGGGAGCGAGGAGCTGTGAGGGAATAAAAACATCACTACAACAAACACTCAGAGTTACAGCACTTCCTATATTTAACTTCACCTTTATCACCCAAACAGTACTGAATAGTGTTATCGAGTGCATGCAAATGAACAACATTTTTTCAAAGATGTTTATTGGAAAAATAAAATCCTGCCCCAAACTGTTCGGCTCTGATCGGATTATTTAAAATCCGATCAGAGCCGAACAGTTTGTGGCAGGATTTCAGCAAAACATTTTTTCATTAATCAACTTAAATTCACACAGTGATTAAGAATCACTAAAATATGTGGTTGATTAACAATAAAAACTGTAGCATCCAACAGTCATCCAAACCAATGCCGATGTGAATGTAAGAATGAAGCAGTTATTGAGCTGTGCGACCTTTCTGTAGGTATTGTGTGTTTGTTCTGCTTCCTGCTGGGCCTGGGCTTCTCCACCCCTTCAGGAAACTACTGGTTCACCATGTTCAATGACTACGGAGCCTCCTTCTCCCTGCTCTTCATCGTTTTCTTCGAGAGCATAGCCATTGTTTATATCTATGGAATGAAAAGGTTGGTGTGTTCAGTGCCCACAACACTCAGCCCCACATCTCCACATCTCCACATCTTTAAACTAATGATTTAAAACCATTGCAGGTTTGAGAAGGACATGGAAGACATGGTGGGACACCGACCCAACTGGTACTGGAAGATCATGTGGAAGGTGGTCAGTCCCCTCCTCCTCCTTGTCGTGATTACCTTCTACATCGTTGGCTACATTCAAGGAGGCACGCCCACCTACCATGCATGGAAGAAAGAGCTGGTGAGCTTCTGGGGTTTACACTCTGATGCTTTTAGCCATAGTCCACAAAGTCATACATCTAGCATTTCTCACAAACCTTCCTTTTGTCCTCTCACACTTTTCTGTGCCATTACACTTCTGTCCAGTGCCTAGATCAGGGGTGGGGAAACTTTTTGGCTCAAAATAAGGTTAAAAAATTGGACTAAATGTATAAGGATAAACCTAAACTTTCAGAAACAGAAGGATTGACATCAGTCAGTTACTGTTTTTTAGAAAGCCCATTGAGCCATGTCTGGTCCACGCACCACCATTTGAGTATTTATACTGATTCCCATTGACCTACTTGACAAATCACGTCTCTAACATTCCCCCCAGACTTGTTTTATGTCAGTAAACTTTCAGGATATGTTTTTAGAGCCAAGTATTTGTCCGACTTTAAAGTATATTTTGGCCACAACAACACTTTAGTCTATGGTGTCCTTATCTAACGGTGTTCATGCACTTTAGTCTATGGTGTCCTTATCTAATGGTGTTCAGAGACTAACTCAGGGGCTGCAGGTTTCCTCATTCATCCCGTAGCTTAGGCACAGACTGTGTGATGAAGTGGTTCCACACTTCCTGGAATCTCAGAAATTCACTTTTTGCAATCGTCAAAACAACTTAACGAGGCTGTAGAAAAGACTGTTAATTCTCAGACAGGAAACACTGTTACATTACTTTACAGTGGCACGAAGCCTACAGGGAGCAAAGAGCATTAGGTCAGTTACTTAACAGAAGTCTCCTCAAGTTATATAAAACTGTGGGGTAAACAAAGACAATACAATGTGCAATACATTCAGGAAGTATGTGGCACTGAGCACTTGAGGGATCTCAAGTCTAATCGGAGAAAAGTGTGGTTTGTAACCTGAAAACCAACATTAATTTATCTTCTACCTTCTTCTTCTGTCCTTAATGTTATACCACACCCCCTAAACATTATTGTGAACGTACTAGCAACACAATATGGACAGTTGGTATGTATCTAAAACAGTACACTCCTCTAAACAGGAGCTGCAGTGGTTTTATGTTCTTATGTGTGATACTGGGTACTACGCCAGTTGTTACTGTTCCTATCTTACAGCAGAAGTTCTGCTGAAATGTAAAAATCAACACTGCAATTTAGTCAGCATAATATTTTAATATTTAAACTTTTATTACCATTCAGAATAAAATGCAATGACAGCTAAAGCCAATGATGCAACTATACATTTCTCCTCAGGGTAAGACCGTGGTGACCGAATATCCCATCTTTGGTCAGGCCTTCATTGGACTGCTGTTGGCCTCGTCCATCAGCTGCCTTCCTATCATGGCACTGTATGTGTTCTGCAGAAAGAGGAGACATGGACGCCGGGACAAGAGGCAGCAGACTGTAATGTCAGTGTCTATGTAGTCGCCTAAACATGGCCTTAACTGAACCAACACATGCCTGGAGCTGCCCTCCAGCTCCAGGGAACAGTTTTTATTTCTTAAAAACAGGAGGGACAGTGGCATATGATGAACTGATCTGATTTTTTTTTTTATCAGAATAGTACATCTGTCCGAATCCACTACAACTGTTTAGTGTCTTTTATAAAATTAAAAAATAATCTCTCTAAAAAATGTTATTTTTAATTAACAGTTGCATTTTTAGACACCTTTTTACACTGAAAGAAATGTTTTTTCAACTTTTATAGCTGCTTTTTTTTATCCTTTTTCGTCTCTTACCGTCACTCCCTCTGTGAAGCACAGCGTCAGGTTACTACAGGTGTGTTGCTGAGCTGCTGTGCCAAATATGAATGTAAAACCGTGCTGTTAAACATGTAAACTATGTACATAGTGTAGATAGACAGTGTGTCATTCTCTGATTGAATTACTTTTTTTTAAATCAATAAACTATGTAACTTTTGCGTTGTGCGTCAGCAATCCGTAGTTGTTTTTTCAAACCAAACAAACCAAAAAGGCTGTGCACTGATGTTCACATGTGGGCGACAGCAGTAACGTGCGGTCAGGGGAGGCAGTGCCTCACCTGCCATCGTGATAAAAAAGAAACGAACACATAAAATAAATATTAATATTTTCCACCGATCTGTGTTAAAGATGCATTTTCAGTATGACTCTACACATTTTTGATATTTAATTAAGTAAAAATCGCCGGATTCGAGTGTTTCGCATTCAAATACAGAACAGAAATCCCGGATGAGGCAGCGACGAGCGGTGCTTCACATCCGACTGCGCGATCCAATCAAACTGGGTCACATGACGCAGGCCCGTTTCTGTTACAGCCAATGAAGTGCAGAAAAGTCAGCAGGGGAGACAAATATTACTCTGCCTCACCTCAAGGGTTCATACCTGAACTGAAGGTCGACGCCAAGCTAAAGCCAGTAGGAGGTGAAGAAGAAGGTTTTCTGTGCTCTTCCTGATCCGACTCATTATGGATTTTATTTCAAGACGGAAATGTTTCTTAAAACTGGACTTTTGGTCCACACAGAACATAAGTGATGGAAGACCAACGCCGGAGCTAAAAGGTTAGCTTCAAACTACGGGACAGAAGAGTCGTTCTTTTTAAATTCACTGGTACCAACGAAAACACCGGCTGTGTGGTAGTCCAGTAAGAAACCGCCATTACTGCTCTCCTTGTCTTTTATTCTCATCGTGTGATAACGTCTCGACTAAGTACTGTGACGTGAAACATTTGAAAAGAAGGCTCAACAGACACGAAACATCAGCCACGAACATTCGGAGACATTATTTCTTTAAATAATTCTGGAAGTTCAAGGATCGATTTGTCATTGGATGAGCAACGGAGACTAAACATTAGCATCCACAATGCTAAGGTGAGGGAAAACCGAGAGCTACAACCATGGACTTTACTATGAGTAAAGGTAAGGCTAAAAATGTTTTTGTTTTTTCAAAATAAGATGGGAATAAGTAGAAAAAAAGTAATTAAAAAAATATTTAAATACTAAATTTTTAGCCTGGTATATACGGTATATATAAAAATCAGTTACTGACTTTAAATTCTGGTGCTTTAATCAAATGTTGTCTATCAATTGATAACAAAAAATATATATAAAATATATATATATTGTTATCAATTGATAACAATATATTTTTTATATATATATGTTGTTATCAATTGATATATATATATATTATATATATATTGATATCAATTGATAGACATTTGATTAACGCACCAGAATTTAAAGTCTGAAAAATAACTAATTTTTTTTTTTTTGCTGAAGGTCAAAATAAATTTGTGCTGCACTAATCTCTATACTTTAATTTATTTACAGTAAATCTGAATTTCTTAGACACAAGAAGGGTGCTGTGTCCATTTGTATAAAGAAATGTTCTTACATATATGACATATACGTTCTTACATATATGACATATATGTTCCTGTGTATGTGTTTGTGTAAATGTCATTGAAAGAGGAATGCTGATTTGAAGCATTACCAGGTGCATGCTGATGATGCTCTTTTCGGTTCTTACAATTGTAAATCTGGCTCCTGAGGAGTCAGTGCCTCACCAGCCATGAACCCCACTGCATGTCACTGGGTGACAGAGTCTGTGTTTGAGCATCCCATGATCAATGGATGGAACTTTGATCATGTGATAACAAGATTGGCATATCGGATATCAGCTAAATTTAACACCAGACCTCCCCTGTCTGGTCTCTCTGTCTCTATTTGTGTCCCACTGATAAACAAGTGAACTGTCCTGGGTGTCTGCCCTGCATCGCTGAGAGGAAGTAACTGGTAGAGGAAGAATGAATGGATGAAAATAATGATGCACTTTAGCATTAGCATCTCCTTCTTTCAGAGTCTGGCTTTAAAAGAAACCACCACACTGCAGCAGGGGTTTTGGTCTTCTTGACAAATCCTTTTATTGATTACCATTCGAACACCGTGATCATTTCAACAAATAAAACAAACACCTGGAAAAAGTGATAACAGACTCAAGCTTTGATATAAAATTACACATTGTTTAATCGTTTTTATTTGGTGTTTTACAGCAGTTGAATTCTGCAGAGCTGCTTTACTGCCATGGTCTCTTATC